CCAGTCAGGCACTCATTCTTCCAGTGTCCCTGTTTGTTGCAGGTAAATTGCACCCAAGGGGGAAGGGTTTGGGCAATCTCTAACCAAGAGTTGATACAGGAACTGATCAGAGTAATCTGGGTATCTGGCTACAACATGTCAGACGTGGCAGATGGTTAGGACACCTAAGTTTCACTCTGAGGGCCATCCTACACCAAAAGTGGGCCATTCTAATTTACATAATTTTATAGTTTTCCCAAAACCCCTTCTTTGCACAGTCCCAATCCCATAATGTTCCCATGAGGCGGTGTCACAAAGACAGACAAAGGGGTGGGGGTGCCCCCTCTAATGGAGAGACCAGTCAGATGCCGGTCTGGCTGCGTCCTGAAAGAACTTAGGTGACACTTAGCCATAGTGGTCTAAGCTTTGTGACTTATGATCGGAAACTATTCCGATGCCACCAGACTGTATGCCGTTCACCATGGAATCGCAGATGGGCCCACTCAGACTCCATAGACTTTTGGGGACCTTAAGGGTGCTCACCCATGGAGCCACAGAATCGAACCCAGCAGGCAAGCCAGACCAAGTCGCACATTAACACTCACATACACGACAGAGGTTATTACATTCCCTCCTATAGAATTCCTACAGATGAGACAAAAAATAATGACAATGAAAACAAGACAAAACAGGTACAAAAGTGGCCACAAAACAGGTTTACGGGTTCACAGAAGGGCCCAACCGACGGCTCTGCGTGCCCTGGGGCAGGAAGTAGTGCTGCGTCCAGCCTTCCACTTAATCCCAGAGACAGCACATGTGCATTCAGGATTCAGGTGATAAACTGACTCACCTCTGGAGATTCAGACAAACGACTCCCACAGATTAACCGGAGGCTGTTTTGGGGGGGGGCAGGAAAGACAAGAGTGTTTCCCCAGGTCCCTGGACATCTTCAGGAGCTGGGGAAGGTGCAAGGTGTCTCCTGTTTTGCCCCGAAAAGGGACAGGAATTTGGAGGGAGGTCTAGGGTCTCCGAAATCTCACTGGGGCCTCTAAATGTTATGCCGAGAGACACAGAGACCAACCAAGACCACTGAAGGTGAATTAAGGGAGTCTTTATGACCGGCCGGGACCGCACAGAGTTAGCACAGAACTCTAAATGCACGGCTCCGAGTCCAAGGACTTAGGGCTTTTTATAATGAGCAAGCAGGCACGTGGGCAGTGCAGAAGCAGAATTGAGTGGTTATTGTAAAAAAGGCTACAAAGGATAAAGAGAGCGGCCCTCATCCTGGTGTGTAGGACATTTGTCATCCTGAAGGCCAGGTGTAGAGTCATAGGGGGGCTCAAAGGAAGAGTTATTACCTCAAGGCCAGAGTATGCCAGCTGTGTCATAAATAACCGTTAACAGGGACAATTAACCCTTATCCTTTTACTCGTTTTTTTTTTTCCTTACACCCGAGGATAGTTATGTCGCCCCCCAAGTGTAGACCCAGAAAGTAAACTCTGGGTCAAGATGGAAGGACTGAGGCCAAATTCATGGGCAACAATTTTAATTATGAGAAATGCATGCAGTCTGTGGCCACTACCACAAGGCACAGAAGAACACCAGAAAAATTCCCTCCTACCCCTTGAAGGTCAGGCCCTCCCCACCCCTTGCTCTTGGCTATTGCTCAAGTGTCTTCTCTCCCACATTTTACCTTGTGCTGAATGTCATTAAAGGTAGGCTCTAAGTCTGGCTTCTTCCACTTCGTATAATACACTCAAGATTCATTCATGTTGTTGTATAGATATGTAGTCTATTCCTTTCTGTTGCTGGACAGTACTGTGTGGTTGCGACAGTGTTTGTCTAGCCATTCACCCCTTAAAGACCATTTGGGTTATTTCCAGGGTTGGAGGGGCAATTCTGAGTAAAGCCACTTATAAACACTTGCAAACAGGTTCTTAGAAATCATATTTTTTTTTTATTTCACAGGTTACTGCCTGTGAGTGGGCTTGCTAGGCTGCATAATGAGGCTATGCTTGTGTTTATAAGAAAGTACCATGCTGTTTTCCAAAAAGGTAAAATCATTTTGCATTCCCATCCGCAATGCATGAGACCTCTCAAAGCCCTGCATCATTTGTCAGCACTTGGTAGTATCAATTTTTCTGGTTTTGTTTTTTTTTCCAAAGTTAGCAATCTAATAGGTGTTAGTAAGGAAACCACAGACCCAAAATGTCATGACCTCAGTAACGACCAAGTCACCAAATGGGGACTTAATACCTAACTAACTGCAGTTTCAACCTCCTCCAGAAATGGACATCTTAACTGGCAACTGAGGAATTTTCTGATCAACAGCAGTGAGGTAATCTGTCACGTGGGCCCTCTCCATCCCCCAAAAGAAGATGAGGTAATCTACCTCATGAAACTCCCTGTCCTTCCCCCTTCAGGGATAGCCTGAAACACTTCTTTCTTTTCTTTTGCCAATAATGGTCCTGCCCCACCCTCTTAATATAAAAACCTTCCATTCTGCACAGCTCTACGGAGCGTTTCTCTACTTGCTGGATGGCATTCAGCCCAATTCATGAACTGCTTATAAAGCCAATTAAATCTTCACACTCACTTGATTGAGTCTCTCTGTTGTTGTTGTTGTTGTTTTTTAGTTTTAGTTATTTTGAGTAAGAGAGAGAACAAGGAAGGGAGGGGCAGAGAGAGAGAGGGAGACAGAGAATTTGAAGCAGTGTTAGTGGGGAGCATTGTTAGTGCAGAGCCCAACACGGGGCTCAAACTCATAAACCATGAGATCATGACCTGAGCCAAAATCACGATGGTTAACCGACTGAGCCACCCAGGTGCCTCTATTGACTTCTGCTTTTTAACGTAAATGTGGAAAAGTACTGCATTGTGGTTTGATTTACAATTCCCCAATGACTATGGTATTGCTCATTTTTTCATGTATGTACTTACCCTCTGTGTATTTGGTGAGATGTCTGGTCAAATATTTTGGCCATTTTGTTATTGGATGTTTGTTTTCTTAGTGAAAGTTGAGAGTTCTTTATATATTCTGGATAAATCCTTTTTATCAAGTATGTTTTTTGTTAATATTTTCTATTGGTCTGTGGATTGACTGATTTTGTTTTAAACTCTCCTTGCTTTAAAACAAAGATCCCCCTTTGATTTTTCCAAGATTACAAAGTGGTTTAATAAATTTAGGAATCTAAAGTGAAAAATTCCCAGGGCCTGATGGTAATTGAGGACGGGGCTTCCCCAGAGCTCAGTGCTCTCATTGACCAAAGGCTTCTGGTAAAAGTCAGTAGCCTAGTTCCTCCAGAAAAATGTATCCTCTATTCTGGCTGGCCTAAGAGTTAAACTGACATGAGACAAATGAACAGGAGTAAGACAAAATTCAATAATGTATGTCTCCCCTGTACAAGGGAGAGACCCAGGGAAACTGAGTTAACTCCCCCACACCGCTGAAGCCAGCAGCTTAAATACCAATTTTCAGATGAAGACAAAAGATGTTGGGGCGCCTGGGTGGCTTAGTTGGTTAAGCGTCCGACTTTCGCTTAGGTCATGATCTCGCAGTTCGTGGGTTCGAGCCCCGCGTTGGGCTCTGTGCTGACTGCCAGCTCAGAGCCTGGAGCCTGTTTCAGTCTATGACTCCCTCTCTCTCTGACCCTCCCCTGCTCATGCTGTCTCTCTCTCTCTCTCCTAGAAATAAATAAAACATTAAAAAAAAAAAAAGATGTTGGGAAGGAGAGTCCAAAGGGAAGAAAAGGCACAGTAAACAAGGGTAACACTGTTATGCAGATTTAGTTGCTTTCAGCCTTAGTAACAGTTTCTACAGATTTAATGTCCTCTCTCCCTCCACCTGATACCCTAACACCTGGAGATTTCCCTTGTAAATGTTTGTTGCAGTAGGGTAATTTCCACTTGGTTTTCAGAGCTTGTTTTATGTCTGAAGTTTCTTCTTTTATTTTTTAAATTTATTTATTGGGGGGGGGGGGGCAGAGAGAGAGAGAGAGAGAAAACCAATCAGACTCCATGCTGTCAGCACAGAGCCCAATGCAGGGCTTGAACTCATGAACTGCAAGACCATGACCTGAGCTGAAATCAAAAGTCAGATGCTTAACTGACTGAGCTACCCAGGTGCCCCTATGTCTGAAGTTTCTTGAAAATAACTGACGTGATTTTGGAGTTGTAGGGGGTGTGGGTCTGGAGCCAACATCCAAGAAAGGATTCTTGAGACGTCTTTGGTGCAAAAAGGTGATTTCGTCAAAGCCCGGGGGGAAAAGGACCCATGGGCCAGAAGATCTGCCCCAGGATTGTGAGGAGGGACTGATCATATATACTTTGGAGTTGGGGAAGGTAAATGCAAGAAGTTTCCAAAGGATTTTCATATGCTGAAGAAGACTCAGGGGATAGGGGAAGCCTAGCTCTTGTCAGGCCAAGGCTGTTTTCCCCTCTAGCAAATAAGGCAGTAGGAGTTCCAGGAGAAGTGTGATCCTCTGCGGGCCTCAAGTATTTGTCCACGGGCTACAGGTTCTAAGGAAATTTAAATTTACCTACATTTCCTTTGCCTTTGTTTCCCATGTCACAACCAGCTTAAAATAACTAATAGCCAAGGGTGCCTGGGGGGGGGGCAGGGGGAGGGGGCTCAGTTGTTTAAGCATCTGACTTGTTTTCCCATTCAGGTCCAGATCTCTTGGTTTGTGAGTCCGAGTCCCGCCTCCTTCTCTGTGCCAAATGCCTAGAGCCTGCTTGGGATTCTCTCTGCCTGGGCCCTGCTCACGCTCTCTCTACCCTCTCTCACAATACATAAATCAGCTTTGGGGGAAAAGTAATCAACATGCGAAAGAGGCGTATCTTGGGGTGGCATAATTCGATCACCTTTACAGTCTCTGACATTTTAGGAAGTTGTTCACGTGTGCACCGCAGACTCTCCTCCCCCTGGGGTCCTCCTCCCTGCTGCAGGGACGACCTCTTCTCCTTTCGGCGCTGGGCTCACTGCAGGGGTGGCCGCCGGCCGGCTCCACAGCAGCCTGTAGGTCAGAAGCTGCCCGTGTGAGCCCCAGGCTGGCTGCGGGGAAGCCTCCAGGAGAACTGAGAAAATGGGGAACTCTCTGCTGAGGGAAAGCAGGTGAGTCCAGCCTCCCCAGGGGAAAGCAGGGGAGATGGGGCAGAGCAACACAGCCAGCGAGAGAAAGGTGTTCGGGTGAGGGGAGGGACCCGGGTTAAGAGCTGAGAAACATGAAGCGCCTCTAGGTGTTAGACACCAAGTTCAATCCCATATGGGTTTGGCCTTCTCGCCAGAATCAGTGCGAGCAGCTGACGGAGAACAGCTGAAAGCCAGAAGGACTCTATCAAGGGGAGTCAATGCAGTCAACCATGACTTCAGAAATGGGACAACTTTCCAGAGGCTGAGAGGGGGTGCTCTCCTGAGCTCTCACACCTGCAGGGAGCTCAGAGACGCCACAATTCTTTTAATCACTATTTAAGTTCAAATAGATAGCAAGCTTCCGCCCACAGCCTCACGCCAATGTGGTGCACATTCGGGAAGGTAAGCTGAGGTCATTAAAACGGGCAGAGGATTTGGCTTAAAGTTTTCTAGACCTCCGTTTTCTAATTTTAAGAGGAAATCATAATACAAGACCCACCTTGGCAGTTTGTATGTGTGCGATGCTAGCCTAGTGCCTTACGCAGTAAAGTTCAACAATTAGAAGATGTTATGTTTTGGGACCATCCTCTTCATTAACACGGAAGCAGCCGTTGTGAAAATTAGCACCACCCCAAACGGGAGACTCCCAGGTGAGATGGCCTAGGGAGAACGAGCTCACCGGGACAGGGACAGGGAGGCTTTGTACAGATTTTATGTCGGCATCCCAGGCCCCAGCTTGTGCCACTAGGAGCCGCGACACAGGACTCAAAAGGGCACCTCCCAAAAAGAGACTTGGGGAGCCTGTGAGATGTCTCCTGCCCCTCCCTGAGAGCCTGTGTCATCTGGACCCCATCCCTGGTTCCTCACTGCCCTTGAGCTCTCGGCAGCTGTAGCATTCTATCAGATTATAAATCCCTATTCTCACATCTATGTGTGAATTCCTTAATTGTAGAGGCGGTTTCTTATTCATTGTCAGATTCCTATTTCCGAGCATTATTACTGACATAGAGTAGACACTCATAAAAGGTTGGATGAATGATTGGAAACATGAAGAAGTACTGTCTTGAGAAGAACTAAAACTAACTACAGACCTCACGTGGCTGAGGAAGCCATGATTGATGTGACATTTGTAAGTTTTTTTAGAACTTTGGTGTGGGGGTGAAGGATTAGGACTTTAATATATGTTGCTTGCAAAAATTGAAAAATACATAAAGTATAAGGAAAATAAAATAGTAAATCACACCGATAACTGCTGATAACATTAGATACATTATCCTTAATTTAAGGTCTATATCTATCAGTCATTTGTATTTATCTGTGAAGAGCCATATGTCTTTTGCCTATTTCTGTTTCGGATTCTGGTCTACTTTGTTCTATTGCCAGTACAAGCTATTTGTGCTTTGAAGAAATTAGCCCTTTCTCATATTATAAAAAAGATTTTTTTGGTTCATCTCGTGCCATGCGGATGTTTTATGTTTGCTTACTATTTTTTTTTAAATGTTTATTTTGAGAGAGAGAAAATGGGGGAGAGAGACAAAGAGAGAGGGAAACAGAGTATCTGAAGTGGGCGCTGGGCTGACAGCAGAGAGCCCGATATGGGGCTCAAACTCCCGAACGGTCAGATCAGGACCTGAGCCAAAATCAGACATTTAACTGGCTGCCACCCAGGCACTCCTGTTTGCTTACTATTTCTAAAACGTAACTGAATTAAATCTAGAAATCTCCTTGGTTTCTACCAAGTAATGCTTAGAATTCCTTCCCCTTCTTAAGACAAATCCACAAATCCAAACATAATTTTTTGTTTGTTTTATTGCTTTACATGTAGCCCCGTACATTGACTCTAGGGTGTCAAATACACACATACACACACACACACACATTTTTTTCCCCAAGTAGTTGGCTTAGCATCTTCATTTCCGTGCTAATTTAAAATACTGCCTTAGAGGTACCCAGGTAGCTCAGTCAGTTAAGAATCCAAGATTCTTGATTTAGGCTCAGGTCATGATCTCATGGGCACGGGATAGAGCCCCGTGTCGGGAGTTTGTCTCTCTCTGCCCACCCTCTCTCTCCTTCTTAAAATAAATAAATAAACTTAAAAAAATAAATAAAATGTCTCCCTTAATGTAATTTTTCAAAGTCTTCTATTTATATTTACTAGGATGTAATTATCAATCTTACCCTTCCTTCCAGTTATCATCCAATCGGCACACTCTCACCGTGGTTGTTGGATCAGACAAAAGCCATGGAAATCTCCCCCCACCCCCACTGAGCAGAGTGGTACTTAGTTCTTTATGAGAGGAGGTTAGAGTCTTACTTACTGACTGGTGGTCCTCAGACAAGTCACTTAACATTTTGAGACTCAGTTTTCTCATAGGTAAAATAAAAAAAAAAGAAAAAGAAAAAAATCATAATATCTACCTCATGGATTTAGTCTGAGATTAAATATAACATATAAAATGTATGCGTTATATACATTGAGTAAGTGGGGGTGTGTGTGTATGTCTGTGTGTATAGAGAGAAAGGTTGAAAGAAAGTAATAAACGCACATAAGTAGTATTTAATTTTTAGTTTCTTTTTCTCTATATCCTCAATTCTCCACAAATGAAAAAAATGGTTGTACAGAAACCCAACCCAAACAATGAATAGATTTGTTTTCTTTATTTTATCCTTTTTTCTCCTCTTATCCCACGTTCTCTGCCTTGGCGCTGTAAAAGATGATGATTTACATGAGACCAAGCCAGGACCCTGCCCCGTCCCTAAATACTGCGCCAAGCAAGCAGGCTTCTCTGTACCCGGATACTCTCACGGCCATCGTTAGGGAGCCTGGCCATATGGGAACATGATTTAGGACTGGTTGTATATGAAGGCTGGTTATATATGAAGAATGTTGGTGGGATGGCATGGCAACGGAGAAACTATCTGATGAAAGACTGTCATGTACAGTGAGGAAGGGCTGTGAACAGATCTGAGGTCAACCAGTGGAAGCGGAGGCAATTCTGGGGTTTCATACAAATGGCGGCTGGAAAAATTATGACTTGAAGTGGGAATCCTGGAGAGCAAGTACTTAGTTCACTCCTCATATGTAGGGTTTTAGGTGGCAAGAGAACACTCAAAAGATACACTGGACTCTGAAAAATCAAACCCTCAAACAGAGAACATCCAGGTGAGAACAAATCCAAGAAATCTCCCAGCCTTTGCCCATGAAGAGTGAAGTCTATCAGATCCTGAACTTCACGTACTCCACACAGAACACCTTAGACCCAGCACCAGTTGTAATAACAGTTAATGTGAAGACATGACAAAAACCCTTTGAACCTTTGGACAGGAGACATGCTAGGAGCCTAGCTTGATCCTTAGCAACTAGAAATAAGATCGCTATTTCCTGCTGTCTGTGTTCATTGAACTCAAGTCCCTTTGTGCTCAAGCTCCATCCTGGCCATTCCATTTTAAACTCAAAGTTTCTGTTTCTGATGTTTCTGAGGACCACATCTCCCACATCGTCATGATCGTTGAAAGGTTTGTGGAGAGAGACACTTGCAATTATCCTGATGCTATAAAACCAAGACTTTCTCATTAATCCTCTCTGACTACTCCCTTTCAGTGTCAGGGAATCACCAAAATATGAAACTAGTGTCTCAGGGTCAAAGAATCCCAGAGTGTGGCAAAGCCAGTTGTTTTGTGGCCTGTAGAGTTATCTGTACTTTTCCTATGGTTTCAGGAGAAGCTTTTGAAAGGATATCAGTTAAAAAACAAACACTGAGCCAAAGCTTGTGTTAGGAGCTAGAGATGCAAAGATTCTGCCACCCACCTACCCATCAGGGTACATTTCTTCAGTGCAAGCTAAGGATCACATATTTGGAGGATATCGTTGGACATATGCTTTAGCATGAATGAAACAGACCAGAAGGGCCATGAGCCCTTATAACAAGGGAGAGACTGGGTGGTCCAGGGGGCCAGAGATGTTTGTGTAAGAGACAGGAATATGGAATTGCTGGCACATAGCCTGGAGTCAGAGAGATGCATCTGGCCTCCTTCAGGGAGGTTGTCGGAACCCATCCCAAACCAAAACATCCAAGCTGACACGCAAGACTATATTACAGAAACGTTGAGTAGGGGAAATAACCAGTTTAAAAATAACTTTGCCCACATTTAGCTTTATTTAACCCTTACAACTCCATGAGCTAAGCAGTATATATATCCTCATTTACAGATGAAGAAACTGGCTCAAGGTTTCCAGCGACACTGATCGCGTAACTCTAAACTCAGTGTCTTTTCTCATCTGCCACATCTGCTCAGTGAACCAGATTTCTTGGCAGTTGGTGAGGTTCACTGGTTTCCTTCTAGTCTTTCTTTAGCCACAGAAACAGGAGATAGAAACAAATGGCTGAAAGTAGCCCAAAGGGGAGGAATGACTACAGCCATGCCTTTCGACACCAAAATTCTGATGGTACATAGACCAGAGAGGTTGTCAACCCTCAGTCACGCTGATGCCCACAGCTTCTCCTCTCCTGCCCTTTCCAAGGGAACTCCTTGGGAAAATCGCTAGGGCTGATATTTCGGAATGACATTTGACAAACACTTTTCCATAGTGTTACTGGAACATGCAGTACTTTCTAAAGGGCTTTCACATTTAACTCTGCAGGTAGCTGACTGTGACTCCAATTCAGAAAGACACCCAGAATAATACTTAGACTTCAGGCTGGATGTCTGACTGCAAAAAGATCCTGAGCCTTTCTGCCATATAATAGATCACAAGTCCTGTTGATTTATGTGTATCTTGAATCGAGGAGGTAGATCTGATGATCTGAGCTAGTTAGAGTTGCTCTGTTCTTTGGTGACTCATTCATGTAAGAAATACTTAGTGAAAATACATTTACTGTGTGCCAGATACTATAGCATGTGCTTGTGATACAGACCGTGATGAACAAATAAATAATGGTCCCTGACTTTATGAAGCTCATGTTCTAGTGTAGGATGTAAACAAAGGAACTGTTAAATAACAAAATTGAACTAAGTAAATTTGAAAATTGTCTTTATTAAGTGATTCATTAGTCAGGCAGCACCCCATTTAGCAAATAGCTCTCCAAGGAGTTATACACAATGGAAGGTTTTTATAGAAGGAAGGTGGGGATTAGGGCTGCCTGGGTGGCTCAGTCAGTTAAGTTACTGACTCTTGATTTCAACTCAGATCATGGTCTCACGGTTTGTGGGATCAAGCCCTGAGTCGGGCTCTTTGATGACAGCACGGAGCCTGCTTAGGATTCTCTCTTCCCCCACCTCTCAAAATAAATAAGTAAACAGTAAAAAAAAAAAACAATTAAGTGAATAAAGCTAAATTTTAAAAAAAGTTACTAGTAGGGCACCTGGGAGGCTCAGTTGGTTAAGCTTTCGACTTCAGCTCAGGTCATGATCTCATGGTTTGTGAATTCAAGCCCCACATCGGGCCCTCTGCTGTCATCACGGAACCTGCTTCAAATCCTCTGTCACCCTCTCTCTCTACCCCTTCCCTGCTCACACACACTCTCTCTCTCTCAAAATATATAAATAACAAAACATTTAAAAAAGTTATTGGCAAAAGAAAAGAATTACTTCTTGGGATGCCTGGGTGGCTCAGCTGGCTAAGCATCCAACTTTTGATTTTGGCTCATGATAGAGCCCAATGTGGGGCTCTGCCCTGGGTGTTGAGCCTGCCTAAGGTTCTCTTTTCCCCACCCTTTGTCCCTCCCTCTCCCCTGCTTTAAGCACGTGTTCTCTTTCTCTCTCTCTCTCTCTCTCTCTCTCTCTCTCAAAAAGAAAAGAAAAAGAATTATTCCGGGTGAGGCCACTTTCTAAGGGGAAAAATAAGGTGTCTTTATCAGGCAGATTATCTCACATTTTTATGGGGATGGAGAGGGCCCAAGTGACAGACTCACTGGCATAGATTAAAGAACTTCTGGCTAATGAGTTAAGACTACATCTCTGGAGGAGATTGAAACTGCAAAAGAAAATTAAATTATGCATCAAGGGGTGCCTGGGTGGCTCAGTCATAAAGCATCTGACATCAGCTCGGGTCAGGATCTCACAGTTGGTGAGTTCGAGTCCCACATTGGATGAGCCCAAGCCCCACTTCGAGTAAAACACGAGCCCCACTTCAAGTGAACCCCACTTCTCTCCCCCCCTCTCTTTCTCCATTTTTGTTTCTCCCTCTCCCCCTCTGTCCCTCCTAGGATTCTTTCTCTCTCTGCTCCTCGATCAATTGTGCCCCCTCCCCTTAAAAATTTGTGTATTAAGCACTAGTTTGAGAACTCAGTCTAAAGGACACCATTTTGGGCCTGTGTTGGTTTTTTTCCAACAGAACAATTATAATATGGTATAAATAGGAGAAATTCAGAGTGCTGTAGAATTCTACATAAATATTGCCTAACTTGTACCTAAAAGAAATTTCTAAAATGTCCATGTACCTATACCTTGATTTCCTGGAGATAACTCGTGTGTCCTTCATCACAAGAGTCCAAGTAAATTATTGACATCGGGCATGAGCGAGCCCTTTCCTTTTGCTGGGAATATAGCAGACAGTCCCTTTCCTGATTAGGAGTTGATAAGCATCGTCTTCATATTCCCAAAGGGCCAGTTAGTGTCCCGGAAGGAAAAAGTCATTCTAGCATGATAAATGTGTCCAAGTCATCTAAAATAAATACTGTCTTGGGGTGGGAAAAAAGGTTTTTCACAGAAATGGCAAAGAGAAGGGGGTCACCCTAACAAAGCTGCAGAAACCAACGTTGTGACCTGTGTCATCTCGCGGTTATTTTAGATGCTGGAGCTGCTGCATTGCTGAAGGGTGTTTCTGCCTTCCGTGGTGAGTGGAGAATTATTTCATGAGTTATTTCCCAAAGTGTGGTTTCAATGTGATGTCTGCTATAAATCACCTGTAACTGCCCACTGTCTGTGGCCACAGTGGAAGCCTGTCACTACCCAGCCACAGTTATCTGAGAGTCAGTCAGGGAAGTGACAATTTGAGTTTGGTGAGAAACAGGAACAATAGTCTTGATGGCGCTCCTCAAATGAGAAAGCTTCAGAAGCAAGAATGAAACTGGCTACCAATGCATAGGAAGATGAGTTAATCCCATGGTGAGTCCCTGAGTCCCCATGTACAGAAGCACACATTGCTGTCCCTTGCACAGAGACCTTTAGGCCAGGGTGGTCATATAATTCATCCTCCACACTGGGAAAGCTTTGAGAGTGAGAGAGACCCTAAAAATAGTTCAGGGTCCCTAAGTGACTGAGAAGGACATTAACCAGACCGTCTAAGCAAAGCAGAACACACAGTCATGCTTCTTGGAGTAACATGTCATTGTGTCTTGAGATGATAAGGAGCTTCCATTATACTATACTGTGTTTTTCTGGGGTGAGGGGGTCGTCTCTACAGAGCAGTTAACCTCTGTGCTCACATGGGAGCTGTTTGCTTGCTTGGAGCAAGAAATACTTGGAGCTTGAGGCTGGAATTGGAAGTAACCTTGGCTCCTTATCTCGCATGATATAAAAGAAATTGAGATGTTGTTAGAAGAAAATATCCCCCAAATAGTTACCTATAACATCATCATGGTTCTCCATTTATAAATCAATCCCACCTCAGCCTTAGAAAATGAAAAAGGGAGGAGACACGCACACGCACACACAAGGGTGTAGATTTCTGCTTGGTCTTACCCTTCCTTTTCCCTTTTACCTGTCTTCATTTGCCTCTTTGCTGAAGGAGGTATGCCTTTAACAAATGAAAGAGTTAAAGATAAGGTTTTAGAGTCGAGTCTAATTTCCTTGGAGCATTGCTGAATATTGAGCCAACCAATTTTCTTTCCTTTTGTTCTTCAGGAGAAAAATGGACATTTCTGAAGAAAAGCCATATTCCGCAAATGAGGGTAAGTCATTGCTTTCTCATCTTTCCTACTTTTGATAGACTTACGTTTCCAAACTGCCCTATCTCTGCGCTTCCGAAGCTCGCTGGGCATATTTTCAGTGTAGTACTTCCACATCAATCTGAGTCATTTGCCCAGTTGCCAGTCTCCTTCTCCACTAGACCATGAGCTCGTTGAATCAGGAGCTGGTACTCCCTACCTCCCAGAGGTCTAGAAGCTGAAGGGGTTAACTGGGAACAATAACTGAAGCTCTAGAGGTGCTAGGTGCTTCCAAGAAACTGCGAGGAGGCCAGTGGGGGCACAGAGAGCACTCAGGAGGGGCATGGCCTTGTGGCCGAGCCTAGGATTCGGGATTTCATCTTGAGAACTGCAGACTATTTTAAACAAGGGGTGGGTGTGAGGGTGCAGCGTTGAAAGACATCGCCTGGGCTGCTGTGCAGAGAACGAATCATATTAGGGAGTGGCAAGAGCAGATGCTGGAAGACCACTTAGGAGGTGATGCAACGGTCTCTGGAGATAGAACAGGACTGAAGCTAAGAAGAAGGAATTCGAGAAGGAGAGGGTAGTGAATAGCATCACATGTAAGAAAGAGAATAAGAAAGCATAGGCCTGAGAACAGGCCACTGAATTCCTAAAGAAGAAAAATGAAGGAGTTTTGACTTTGCCTTCCTGGGCTGAAAGAGCAGAGCCTAATTCATTCACTCTGAGTCGTATAAACTAGCTCTGTAAAGTATGGAAAGGAATATTATGGCCCTCCCATCCCTAGCTTCACCCAGGGTTCCAGGAAACCCCAGCCTCCATCAGAGCAGAGCCCGCTAGAAAGATCTCTGATGCCAAAACTCGCAGACTTTTCTTGCAGTGATAATCAGGGGCGTCCTAGATGGCCATGCAGATTTACGAAGATATGAGCATCTGGGAGGTCAGTCCTGGGGGAATGCAAATCCATAATAATAAATCAAGCAGCCTGCAGGGCACAGCCACCTTCTGTGTAGGATGGCATCATGCAGCTTCCGTGGGAAAGCTCGTGTTTGCCGATCGAGCTGATGTACTTGTGAGGGGGTTGCAAGTCCATCTGCCTCTTTGCTGGGTGGCCAGAGCCAGTTGGTTTTAAATAAACTGGTTTGGGAAAAACTGGCCTGCTTTTGTTTGTACCTGTTAGCAAATTCACAAGTGGGAATGTTCAATTTCAGAGTTTGCTTCTGAACGGGCACCTGGGTGGCTCAGTTGATTGAGCGTCCAACTCTTGATTTCAGTTCAGGTCATGATTCCAGGGTCGTGGGATCAAGCCCCAAGTCGAGCCCCAAGTCAAGCCTTGAGTAAGCCCCCCACCATCACCACACCCATTACCACCATGTAGGTGTGGAGCCTGCTTAAGATTTTTCTCTCTCCCTCTGCCTTTTCCCCTGCTGATGATCTCTGTCTCTCTCAAGAAAAAAAAAAAAGAGAGAGAGAGAGAGAGAGTTTCTTTCTGTCAGGGCCTTCTCCAGCACCGGCCCTCGCATGACCACCATCCCCTGTGAGCCCCTTGAGGACAGGAACTGTTTCTGATTTTTCATTGTCTCCACACTGCCTGGTACAGGGCTGGTCTGCAATGAATCTTGTATGAGGGACGGAGGGGTGGAGGGATGGAGGGAATTGTGATTTCCTTCCCAACGCCCCAGCGAATGGGTGTCCCTCCATGCAGCCTCCCAGCCCCAGCACAGCTCTGCTGTGTCCTGTTTAGATGGTGCAGTCACTCCCCAGGGGTGTGCTGCAGGTCGAGGTAGCCTGATGGGCCATCATTTGGCTCTCAGGCTGCTTATATCCGAGTGTTCGCCCACCACTCCCCATCCTCTCTCCTCAAATTGCCCCGTGACCTGAAATTCATTGAGTGTATTTTTTTTCTCCAGATAGAGGAATGCCATCTGCTTCCATCCAGGTAATGCCAACACCTCTGAGCCTTCTTCTGAGATGACAATGGAAATGCAGACACTCCAGATGGCCTCCAAGACCCTTTCAAAAGCTGATATAAAGAAAAACTTTAGATACCAATGCTTGCTAGCCCGGGGCCCTGCATGGGGCACGGGGGCAACAGCAGCATCCACTGCTGTACACGTTATTGAAAGGAACTAATACCTATGAGGTTCTTTGTGTTCACCAGGCAGGGTCCTGAGAGCTTTGCCCGTAGCATCCACATAACTTACAATAGGCCTCTAAGAATGGTACTATGATTTCCTCCATTTTACAAATGAGAAAACTGAGACTGAGTGGTATTCTCCCAAAGCCAGACAGCTGACAAGATGGGCAGGGACATGGTCCAAAACCATGCCTCTGTCCCAGATCCAGGCTCTCCCTCTTATATTTGCTGCTTTACTTTTCATCTCCTGAGATGCCACTGACTGGGAACTTCTCGAGTGGTTTCCCTTTTTAATCATGCAACAATGTCTAGAATGAGTGGTTATATATCATAACCCAATCATGGGAGGGTATCCTCAGATTGTTCTGGTATGTGAGAACGCTCTGCCTCCAGGGCCTGAGGTTTGGGAATTATACAGAGTGGCCAGGGGTCACTCTGGAATGTGGAGCAGAGAAGACATGCCTGGATAGGCTGAACACTCCGGGAAGCATGAGCTCTCTGGTGGCCTGAGCTAGGGGTTGGAGTGGGGGCAGCCATTTAGGAAAAACAGCCAAGAGACAGGGGGAGAGACACTCATGGGAGACAGACTTTGCCCAGGGTCAGGTCCGTGTGGGGCCTGGAGTATAAAGGGAATGGCAAGAGGCCCACTCTTGACGAGGCTCTTCTTTGACCAGCAGGACAATGCTGACCAGAGCTCTTTAGAAGATCTGTCCTACACCCTCATCAATCACAGCGTCCTCAGGAAAAGGTCATCAGGGATCTCTGCAGTGTACTATGAGAACATCTCCCCCAAGACCGAGAGACCCAGGGAGTTCTTGGGAGGAACCGAGACATCATACGCCCTTCTCCACATGTCTGCCTCCCCAAGGCATTTGCCCTCTCCGGAAAGTGAATATGAACTTCTCACTCCTGGTAAAATCTCCGTCCACTCCCTGCAACAGCCACGTCCACTTATGTCACCCTCTGAGCCTTGGGTTTCTTGTTTAAAATGAACTGGTCAGCCCAGCACTTGTCTAATCACCAGTAAATAAAATCTGGGGGATGGGGATCTGGTTGAAGCAGGCATGGGGCACAAAGCCCTTAAGGCACACGTGTGCCCACGCGCACGCGCACACACACATACACACACCATTCCACAGGGGTCTCTGCAGAATCTAGTTTACAAACCATAGGGCTCCTTAGATCCTGCTCAATGTTCATTATACAAAGACCAACCACTTATCCTGAACACCACTCTGAGAAAGGAGTGGCCATCTTTCACTCCAAATGGCTTTGGGAATTGGCTGCTTTGCTTGGTGGCCAAAGGAGCTTCTTTCTTGGTCCCCTGTAGCTGGGAGCATCACAAAGTGTCTGCTCCTGTGTCCAGGTTCTTCTCATAAAATGTTTACATCATTGTCTTCTGAAGTCACAAGGAAGCTTTACCCATCACACTAAGTTCACCCGGGCAGTGGGGGTGGGGTGGGGTGGGGTGAGTCTACTCATTCCACACACATTTGTGGGTCCAGCTCTTCACCCGGAGCCTTCCAGAGTGGGGAGGCTGTGTTCCTCTCACCCCGTGCCAGTCAGCCATGTTCTTTGCATAGTGTCCTTTGACTTGTTGGCCCTCATGGCTTTGTCGGTTACATGGGTTGAATCATTAAGTTCTAGGCCAGGTTTTCATATAATTTTTGGTATGATTTGAATCCATATTTTTAAACCTTGTATTTTCTCCCTAGAAATCTGAATAAGAAAATCATAGCATTAGAGTATGGTAGAGTAGAAAGACCTATGGAGTCACTCTAAATCCACTATCCCTTTTTCTTTGCTCAGAGGGGGTAAGTAGCCCGATGTAGCATTGCAAGTTACTGATGGAACTTTATCCAGAGCCCGATTTCCTGGCTTCTAATTCCACACTCTTCCAACATACTACATAGAAGAACCTCTGTTTAACTGTATGGTGTATGTGTGGATTAATGTGTCATGTATAAAATATTAATAAAATGTCCACATGGGAAAAAATAATACCCTCACACACATACCCCTTCTCTAATGAGCCTTTCTTTGTATGTTCCGATTATTTTCCCTAATGTTTTTCCTCATTGTTCCTAGAAATCTGTCTACCCCCTAAACAGGGGTTGGCACACTGTGGCCCACAGGCCAAATCTGACCTACTGTCTTTTTTTTTTTTAATAAATAAAATGTTATTGGAACACAGCCATGCTTATGCTTATTTGCTTATGCTTTATACATGTTCATACTGTCTATGGCTCAAACACAGAAGATTTGAGTAGTTGTGCCACACGCTGCAAAGCCAAAAATACTTATTTTTTCTCCCTTTTCAGAAAAAAAAAGTGTGTAGACCCCCCAGGTCTAAACGACCATACTTGGAGAGAAACTTAACAGAAATGTGTTTGGGATTATAACTCATAAGCGCTGGAACCAGTAAACTGGCATGAAAATATTAAACCACAGATTATGAGTGAAACCAAGAATAATTAGCAAATTAGACTATTTCTATATTCACACCTGTGTTCTCAACTTCCTGTTTTATTTAACCCATAGCCATTGTCCTTGTTTTAGTGATGTTAAAATAGTAAGAAGTTTGTTGACAAGGTAGCAGAGACGTTATGTGCTTAATCACACTGCTTTGCCCCCCCAAACTAACCAAGGTTAAATAGCTGCTATTTAAAACGTGCTAGGGGCGCCTGGGTGGCTCAGTCGGTTGAGTGTCTGACTTCGGCTCAGGTCATGATCTCACGGTTCGTGGGATCGAGCCCCACGTCGGGCTCTGTGCTGACAGCTCAGAGCCTGAAGCCTGCTTCGGATTCTGTGTCTACCTCTCTCTCTGACCCTCCCCCGCTCATCCTCTGTCTCTCTCTGTCTCAAAAATAAATAAACTATAAAAAATAATTTTAAAAAAACGCGCTACATGCCAATGAGGATGATAAATCCTCATGGCGACATGAGGTTGGATGTGCCAACATAGGTTTGCTGAGATGTCAGCCAGTTGGTGGCCTGCAGCTAAGAGCTGATCACATCTGGGTATCTTGTCCTCTTCTAACTTCAGGTTTCAGCAAAGTTCTCTCACATGGAACCTTAACCTTGACGCTTAACCTGACCCTGGTTGGCCAGGGTTCCAAGTGTGGACACTACAGTCAGATAAGCAAGGATTCAAATCGTGTTTCTATCCCTTTCTCCCTCTGTGACCTTGAGCATGTACCTTGAAGGCTCATCTTTAACACCCATCCACAGGAGGGTTGCATCTAATGTATGTGATTCATTTACCACAGACCCTGAATAAATGATCTCAAAGAGAAACAAAAACAGTTTATGATGTCTGGGGAAAAATAAGTGTTGATGTGCTAGTGATCAGGGCCATCAGCTCTCTTCCACGGAGACAGAAACGCAATCACTGAGTTTTATACTGGAATTTTTCATTTGGACATTGGACCGTTACTGAAGTTGACTGGTTTATAGATTTTTAGTACAATAGAAGTTATACAAATTTGAGTATTATCTGTGAAAGTATTACTTGTCCCAAATAATATATGCCTTTTATCAGCAATACATTAAGCATAAGTGCTCAACCAAAGAAATGTGTTCTTGTAATGACATTTAGAGGGATTACGAAACAGAACTGTTTTTGAGCAGGAGAGCCTTTTGGGCGTGCTTTGGAATCCCTGCTATGTCTATATATAATGCGGATCCTGTTTTCCACAGATTGCAGGATTTCTGATGAAAGCTGTGGAACCCTCCTCCCAGAAAATGCACATTCACACACGTGCGCGTGCGCACACACACACACATACACTCTCACACACAATATTTTACACAATTTTGGTTGTAGGTGTCATCCATCGGCGAAAGAATTCCTATGTTCTGGATAAGAAACTAGGCTGAGGATTCCAATTGCTCCTTGAGAGAGCACAAACAGAGTCAAAAAAACTCCCTTCCCCCACGCCAGTCTCACACCTGTACACGGCCAGTACACAGAGGCACATTTCATACAGTGACTGCAGGTCTGGTGGTTTCCGTTTCAGGTTCAGAGTAGTATCTATAAATAATCCCTTGGCCCGTGAATAAATTCTTATTCAGAACAGAAGAGACGTACAAGAAAAGGGCAGCATCAGCAAAACCTACCGTTGACAACAAATAAACTCAAACACTGACATTTTTAGGACAACCGCAGGTGACGGGGCTTCAAATACTCGCAGGAATGGAAGGGCACAGGTACAACAGGACAGATGAGACTCCAGAACACCGCGGCTAGGCTTCAGACAATAGGAGATTCTGTTTGCTTTTCTCTGACTCTGTTCTTTTCCACGCCAGCCTCTTGTGTCCAGAAAGCAACTTGAAAGTCATTTGATCTGAGCATACCTCAGTTCTGCCAGCTGTTAAATGGGTCCGTGTGAGCTCTTCCCACTATTAGACAGAGGGTGCTTTTCGCAAGGCACCTGGGGAAGCACTCAGTGATCTTTATCATCCCAGATAAAGGCTTCTACAGTCTGATGATGACACCTCTCAACTCACGGCTTCCCCCCTCACCGCTTGTGCCCTTTGTGGTTTCCCAGACCTCAGCCAAGCCTGAACTGAGCAGGACCCTGGGGTGCCTGCCCAAGTCGGAGGCCACTGATGGTGTGCGGCAACCCGGTGGGCTGCTTTGCCCCTCAAAACTTTGGAACTCTAGTCTCACCCTTTCATCTCTCCCGACCTCGGTTTCCTAGGTATAAGATGAGGGAACTGCCTTCGGAGGCTAAGAATACACGATCTCTAACAGTAACGGAAAAGTAAGAGGGTGTCTGCAGGAGCCGCTTCCACCAAGGCGATGACAGAGTGAATTAGCCTATTTTAAAGCAATGAAACGGTAATGGGAGCAGAGAAGGGAAGGCTTAGAGAGATGTCTCCCCACTTTTCTCAGCACTGACCAGACTCTGAATGGGGCAGGGGTCCACGCAGAGTCCACAGCTAAGACAGAAAAGACAAAACGTGACCCTTGTCCTGATAAGACACGAACATGGGTAAAGGAAAGCCAATCTGTTTATTCAAACCCCACCGGCGTGTCGGGGTCAGCGGGGTCCGCCTTCCCAGGCAAAGCCTGCTCCAATCAAGCTACACCGACCACTCTTTTCTTGGACTGCCCACAACGCTACAGTTTGTCTTTATTTTTCCCGCCGGCCTGCTTTTTCCTGCTGTTTCCCATTTGGTCTGTGCAGAGTCTCAATGCCTCACAAGACCAGCAGCTTCTTTTTTTTATTATTGTCCCTGCCGGAATCTCTTGCATTGTCTGCAAAGCATAGCATTAAAAAAAAAAAAAAAAAAAAAGCTGCAGAACTAAGTTAAATTGAAAGGCAAAAAAGAGGGGCGCCTGGGTGGCTGAGTCGGTTAAGCGTCCGACTTTCGCTTAGGTCACGATCTCGCGGTTCGTGGGTTCGAGCCCCGCGTCGGGCTCTGTGCTGACTGCCAGCTCAGAGCCTGGAGCCTGTTTCAGTCTGTGACTCCCTCTCTCTCTGACCCTCCCCTGCTCACGCTGTCTCTCTCTCTCTCTCTCTCTCTCCTAGAAATAAATAAAAATATTAAAAAAAAAAAAAAGAAAGGCAAAAAAGAATTGGACATGTGGGTAGAATTTTTGTCGGGGACAGGAGGAGGGGCACATCTGGCTGTCTCCTTTCTGTCCTTATCTAAGTGACTTCCAGAAAAGATCAGTTTCTCTTCTCAACTCTTCCAATTGCTTCACAAATAGTTGTTGAAAGCTTATCAGGCACCAGGCATTACGCTCACCACTGACATGTGTGGTGACCCATAAATTCACCACCCGCAGCAGGACAGTGTGTATGTGAGCATCTGTGACCTCCAAATGCTTTCGTCACAAAGTTCAGCTCCTTCCACACCACATGAACCAAAGAGCCACACCTATGGAAAGGCTTCTGGATGCCCTGCACGGGGTCAAAACCCAAGGCAAGATACTCGCATAGGAGTGCTTTCCACAGAAGGGAAAACCACCCCATCCTGTCTCTACGCAGGAAGAGGCCTTCTTTCTGGCCCTTGGACCCTTGAGCACCTGGTCCAGCTGGGAGAGGCCTGGGAGGAACTGGAAGGGAGAGAGGGCCCCTCCCTGCTCTCACTGGCACAGAGGAGGACCCCGCCCGCCCCAGCCCACCCAGCTAAGTCTTACTCAGAAGGGGAAGCGGTCCTCAGGGAAACGAAAAAAAAATCAGTTCCAACACCATTAGCTGCGAGAAAACGCCAGCCCCAATCACGGCCTTGGTGAGTCCACAGCTACGAAGCAACAGTAATGTGACAACTGCCCGGGCAAAAATAATTTATTGTAAATATTTTTAAATCCTTCTCCATTAAAGTTATTCATTACATCCTAAAAAGTACAAACACACTAAGACTTAACATTAGACACGTAAAAAATAAAGAGGAAGAAGGGAAATTCACCTATTTCACTAGTTTAAGGAACTATCCTCAAAACGAGACTCCCAGTTTACAATAAGTGTCCCCTCTAGTTTCATAAGAAAGCAAATTCACATTTTCCAGAGGCCTGGCTCACAAAAAGACCAAGGCAAATCTAAGTTGAGACACACATTTGGACACAACCACATACACAAACAGCCCCTCAGACTGATGTCCACCCACAGGCAACTTCACTGAGCCACGGGGCTAAGAATCTCTTACTACATGATTGTAACATTCTCTCTTGGAGAATTTCCAGCAAAACAATTTTCCCAACCAAACAAATACTGTGCTTCCTCATGCCGGGTGATTCTTTACCCGCGGAGGATCAATACGGTCACTAATGGTCCCCTCAGCCTGCAAACAGATTGGCAGTAAGTTTATTTCAGAGTGGTTCTTCCTGCTTCACACCAGCTTCAGTAAGATAAACCACCATTGCTTGAAGACACTGAGTTTTACAGGAAGGTCAGGAACATTGGACAATAAAAAGCCAGCATGTAGTATTAAGAGCAGAAGGCTAAGCGGCCTTAATGTTTCTCTGATGGAAGTTTGAGAAACTGTAAAATTGGCAAAACTATCCCAAATGATAGCTGTGTGTTCAAAACCCAAAATGTGTAGGGACCCACTTTTCAAAAGGGGTGTTCAGGGGTCAGGGAGCAATGAGAAGATGGGAAATGAGAAACACACACCGTTTTTCTGTAGCTGTACGTAACACGGTAACGGCGGACGATGTGTCTAAGGCTGGTGTGCTAAGATCCGCAGGTCATGGAAATAGGTGCGGACTCTGCTGCTCTCTCTGGTCTTGCCAAGTGCCTTCCTCACAGTCTTGCTTAGAGGTAGATCAAATATCACACCGGGGAGCGGGGGAATGGGAGGGGGGCTTCAGAGGGTGAGGGGCTCAGTTGTCCCTCACCCCCTGCCTGTCTGCTGTGTTCTCATTCCACCAGCACGGGCTGATGAGATCTTGCCAGAAAGGTCACCTCTGCACTCAAGAGAAAGTGTCCACAATGTGGGTGGGGGTAATGAGTGCTCCAAGAATAGCATTAACCCCACAGGGTAAGCTCCGCGGCAAGCTCCTCCCACCTACCCCGTGTCAGTCACCCTCGTGGGGTCTGGCTTCCTGCCTTTGTCAAGGCTGAACTTAGCTGCGGTAGCCAGTAGGTGCTGTTTTGCTGGACACGGAGCCAGACTTCATAAATGCAGAATAGGGAAGAAAAGAACAGTCTCTGCCCCTCCAGTCACTGAAAGTCCTTCTAGGTTAATTCGCAGGATCCTTTCTGGAAAACGAGTGAATGCTCTCATTCCAAAACTCAGTGGAATCCTGCTTTCAGATACAGACCCGTATCCACCACTTCATTCTGAAAAGAAAATAAAATGGAAGTCATTAATTTTTTTAAATCATGGTAATTTGACAGATTTACGCTTTCATTTTATTTCATTGGATTTGAATATAAACTCTGGTAAAACTGAAATGCCTGTAAATTCCTAACAGAGGAAGTTTTCGCTTCAGTCGATACACACACGTATCTCTGAATGCCTTTCATTCTTTTTTTTTTTTAAGTTTTAATTTTTATTTTATTTTGAGAGAGAGAGAGAGATAGCACCCAAACAGGGGAGGGGCAGAGAGAGAGAGAGAATCCCAAGCAGGCTCCATCCCATCAGCATGAGCCCGATGTAGGGTTCAAACTCACAAACCACGAGATCATGCCCTGAGCCGGAATCAAGACTGGGACCGCCACTGACTGAGCCACCCACGTGCCCCTGAATGCTTTTCTAAAAGCAAATAACACGTTGCTCATTCATTTTGGTATGATTCACGATAAATAACATTTTGTCGGAGCCTTTTGGGTGCTGAGGACATTTAAATATTCAGTCCTTTTTCATAATCGATTAGACTTTAACTTTTCAGTCTGTTAAAGGGCATACAATAGATTGTGAGAAAGGCTGAGGAGGGGAATGGTGTGGACCCGGCCTGACCAAGGAGGACAATGTGCCCATGCAAGGACCTGGGAGCACCACACAGGGGTGGGGATGGGGGAACCCCATGCTCTGCCGCAGGGTCCTCACAGTTGACATTTGGGACTGGACAAATCTTGGTAGTAGGGTAGCAGGATTCTCACACAGGAAGTCGTGACATCAAGGCTTTTCTTTCCAGGAAGCAACTTTATTCCTGCCGGCACCGCTCAGTTAGGTTCGTGCCGGAAGAACTGAGCCCCGAACGCCATGTAGCGTAGTTTTTTATACGTTTTCTGTTCCTTTGTCTCCCTATATGGTAGCACACAAACGTGCAGTCGGATTAAGTGGGCTCCTGTTACAAGGTCGTGAGGGATGTTGTCACGGATGCGTATAACCAGGTTGCCTTGAGGTTTTTATTTTTCCTTAGGGGAAAAAGCTCTTCCACAGTAGAGAGCAGTTCTGTGCCTTGTAAGATGTTCAGATGCTAGATGCTAGTCTCTCACATACGTACCCAGTCGCGACAACTAAAACCATCTCCAGACTTTGCCAAATACCCCAAGGGTGGCAAGGTGGAGGTACAAAATTGCCTCCACTTGAGAATTAGTGCTCCTTGGCTAAACTTTCCAAATTTCTTGGAAAGATAAAACAACCGAAATGATTTTCCTTGATACCAAGCAGTCCTTTCAAAAACAACTCACACACTGGCTTCTCTGCCAGCAGCCAGCTCATTAGTTTACCCCCCAAAAATGCAAATAAGATTCACTACTCTTACGGCCTACAGTGTTTTCCTCTTTTCTCTCACATAAATCTGGGTTTGGCCTTTTTTCCTCATCTAGTCTACTAGCTGGGTCCCTCACATATGAGAAAACAGTACAAAATAACTACCTCAGGTATAGATGTCTAAAACAACTCACGTTGCCATTTTACATTTGTAAAACAGACACGCCCCCCGCCAGCCCCAGGGGCCCTAAACATCCATAAAGTGAAGTAGCTCAAAAATAGGGGAATGGGGAGGTGAGTTCTCTTAAAACAATTCTGTTACCCTTGAGGGCATCATGCTACATGACCGAAGTCACAGAAAGGCAAACAAATGCTGCATGATCCCACAAATGGAATCTAGAAAAAACAAACTTATAGAAAAAGAGATCCGATTGGTTGCAGAGGGAGAGGGCTGGGTGAAGGGGGTCAAAAGGCACAAACTTCCAGTTATAAGTTAAATAAGTTCTGGGGATGCAATGCACAGCATGATTATCGTTAACACTGCTGTGTCATTATGTTTGAAAGTGGCTAAGGGAATCAATCCTACAAGTTATTACATGGAAAAAGACTTTTTAAAGTTTATTTATATATTCTGAGGGGGGGTACTGGGGAAAGGGCAGAGAGAGGGGGAAAAGAGAGAATTCCAAGTGGGCTCTGCACTACCATGCTGGGCTTGAACTCACAAACTGCAAGACCATGACCTGAGCCAAAATTAAGAAATCAGACGCTTAAGTGACTGAGCCACCCAGGCGTCCCTGGAAAAAGAATTTTAAAGAGTCGTTGTTCTTTGGAGTGGCTGGGTGGCTCAGTTGGTTAAGTCCTGACTTCAGCTCAGGTCATGATGTCACGATTCGTGAGTTCGAGCCCCGCATCGGGCTCCACACTATACAGAGCCTGCTTGGGATTCTCTCTCTCCCTCTCTCTCAAAATAAATAAACTTAAAAAAAAAAAATCATTGTTCTTTGCAGAACTGAAACATCATCTCTGTGGGAAACTGGCTGCCCAGCTCACCACTGGTTACCCAGAGGATCACAGGTGGAGGGGGGGCAGGTGGGGTAACCCTCAGGCCCACAGTGTGCATGAATATGGAAAAATGGCCTAAAAACACATGGGCTCTCACTGGGTCCCTCCCAGGGGCCTCTGCGCAGCCCACCTATCCCTGACTGAGCTTGTCCCCTCCCTTAGCCTGCGTGCCTTTTCTGGGTCTTGCTTGTTCCTTCCTCACTCTTCCCAAATGGTCACTGTGTTGTCTCCCATTTGACTGATATATTCCTGAAGGTATCAAATGGCTCAAACACTGCACATGCGTGCTCTAGAAAGTGGACGTGAGGCCACAGAAATACCCCTTCCCTGAGCAGAAATGTTTGAGAGGAGCAATAATGTACTCTCCTGCTTAGCCCCTGGCTGCTTCCTCTGGCCTGATGCAGAGTCTGGCCCCGGGGAAACATCTAGAACTCCATTTGTCTGAGCTCAAGATCTTCTCAAGCTCTCCCCAGGCTCACAAGCCACTAACCTTTGGAGTGGCCTTTCCACTCTCATAACCCTGTCAATTTTTTCTCACCTCCTTCTACCTTCCCCGCCTACATTTGGAAAGAGCTTGTAACCACCATAGTACAGAGGGGCTCGGAAAATCAAGATTAGTCACAACACAGCAACGGCCACCATACGCATCTCAGGTAGCTGCACATTCCTTTTCTCACCTCCTTATACAGCGGGCGTTGAAGGGTTTCCTTCCTTCCTTCCCTCCCTCCTTCCTCCTTTCCTTCCTTCCTTCCTTCCTCCCCCACTCCCTTCCAATCTCCTCTCTCTCTCCTTCTAAAATTCCTGTTGAGGGGTGCATAACCTCTTCACCCTACACTTGTATGCCTGCTGTCTGGCCAACAGACGCACTTTACTTATCCAGATGCTCTGTGAGGAAGCAATTCACTCCCAGTGAGCTTAAATTTGGCCTTCTGAATATCATTCTTTCTATTTATTTGGGAAAAAGCAAGCTTTAAGAACTGCTTTACATAACTCTTTGCTGTCTTAAATAAGGCTTAGCCTACTTTCACTTCCCATCATCAAGAAGTGTCATTACAATAAATGCCCCTTTTCATACTAGGTAGTAACACAAGTACTTTATAATCTGTTCTGCTCTTCTGACTCTAGGCTGGCTGGCAGTGTGCCTGGTGCTAACCACATCTCCTAATTTGCCTTTTTCATTCATTTAACTAGTATTTACTACCACTGGTGTGCTGAAAGTATTTCTTGCGGATCGTCGATGATGACATGTACAAGATGGTCGGCATCATGGGCTAATGAGCCCATGTGCCTCCCAGTGAGGGATCAGAGCAGGAAGTGACACCAGAGATCAGGCCAAAGCTCAGAAGGCAGACGGAACGGGAACACGTCTCCAAGGCTTGTGGCCACATCACCTCCCCACCTTCCTTTTCACCAGGTTTTGTGCGAAGTCTTAAAATTTCTCAGGTTCACTTGTGGACGGTCACAGCTCCGCCTTGCTGACTTCCTCGACTTACCGGAGAGCAAGAGGGATGTTGGCTCAAGCCCCAAAGTCTCACAACCGGACACTCTCTGATCATGGAGATCCTGTAGTAAAATGCCCAGCACCAACTCCTTGCTCATCCTATACTTCATAAAATTGTCATCTTCTGAAGGAACCCCAAACTGCAGGAGGTAGGCGATGGTGGCGTTTTCACCGCTGGAAGGCACACGAAACACACATGTGTATCCACAGAATCACACTGCAACCCAGGAAACTGACATCATTCAGCAGGACCATAGTTCTAGTTCCCCGTGTTCTTCCAGTACAAAAAAAGCAACGGACGTACTGTCCTATAAGAACCCTCTTCTAGGACATCCAGATGGCCAACAGACACATGAAATGATGCTCAGCATCGCTCCTCATCAGGGAAATACAAATCAAAACCACACTGAGATACCACCTCACGCCACTCAGAGTGGCTTAAATGAGCAAATCAGAGAACTCTAGATGCTGGCGAGGATGTGGAAAAACGGGCACCCTCCTACACTGTTGGTGGGAATGTAAACTGGTGCAGCCCCTCTAGAAAACAGCGTGGAGGTTCCTCAGGAAACTAACAATAGAACTCCCTTATGACCCAGCAATAGCACTGCTAGGAATTTACCCAAGGGATACAGAAATGCTGAGGCATAGGAGCACATGTACCCCAATGTTCATAGCAGCACTCTCCACAATAGCTAAAACATGGAAAGAGCCTAAGTGTCCATCAACAGATGAATGGATCAAGAAGATGTGGTTTATCTATACCATGGAATACTACATGGCAATGAGAAACAATGAAATCTGGCCATGTGTAGCAACGTGGATGGACCTTGAGGGTGTTATGCTGAGCGAAATAAGTCAGGCAGAGAAGGACAGATACCATATGTTTGCACGTATAGGAGGACTAGGAGGAACTTGACGGAGGAACAAGGGGGAGAAGAAGGGGGGAAATGGTGGGGGAAAGGGAGAGAGGCAAACCATGAGAGACTCTTGAATGCTGACAAAAACTGAGGACTGATGGATGTGGGGGGGAGGGGGGTGGGCATGGAGGAGGGCACTTGTGGGGATGAGCACTGGGTGTTATGTGGAAACTAATTTGACAATAAACTATTTGTAAAAAAAAAAAAAAAAAAAAAGAACCCTCTTCTGTAGTTTTGTCACTAAGTGTTGAAGTGATTCTAACCTCTTCTTTCCACCTAAAATCCATCCTCTCGGAGACCCCTGGGAGAGGCCCTTGAAGGGAGAGTCGTCACCCAGCTATTGTCAAGGAGGATCCAAGGGCTGGCCCGTCCTCTGTCCCAATACCAGCCTTTCCTCTTGTATTCCTTCTCCATGGTCTCACACTCACCCTCTCCCTGCTCTGACAAGTGACCGTCAGAGCTATTTGGCTTAACCAGATCATTCCTTAACCTATAAAATGTTTGCAGTAGGGTGCAACGCTTCCTGGCACCGGCCAGCTGCAGAACTCCTGAATTCCCACAGGGTAGCGGCAGCAAATCCTACCTCCCTGGTTTGTCTCCAGTGTGAGACTCGTTCTCTGTCCCCTTTCCCCCTCCTGAGGCTCCCAGCTTTGCAACTTTCAGTAAAGGGACCTAAGGAAAAGGAGTCTTCATCTTCCCAGAACATATTTTTCTATTTCCAAAATAAAAATAATCACAGGGCTATCCTCGGTTAATTAGTAGGCTTATGCTGGCTCGTTAAATGCTACCTCAATATCTAGGCTTTTCAAAGTTATCCTGATACTTTGGCTCAAGAAGGCCCGGATTAAGAGCCTGCAATAAAATAATCACGAAGTGGCCACATCTGAGACTCTCCCCCTAGGGCAGTTTTTTACAGACTTGCCGCTCCAGGGAGTCTGAATCAGATCGAAGTCCCTCCCAAGGATGGGTAACGAGCACCCTCTTGTGGCCAGAGGTCACATAGGCCACTAGCCCTATTATGTGACTGACCATTTATAACCTGCGACAGCCACGCAGTATGCCAAATTCTGCAGTCCAAACGAACAAAATACCACCAAGACTCTGCAGAAGCTCTCGGTCTGTGTGCTTCAAAATGCACGTTCTGACTTAGCCAGCGACACAAGTTTGCAGCTGTCGTTATTGGTTCCCTGTGCTCCACCTGCCAATCAATTATTGCTGTCCACGATCAACACCAAGGTTGACCGTTGATAGCACATCAAGCTGCACGTCAAGGCGTGCAGCCATCCTGCATTCCCACAGATGGGCAAGGACTCGGGCTGGCTTATGGAAAGGACCACAGGCTGACTTCCAGAATAGACCAGAAGCTTCTGAAAGAGGGGGCTGCCCTACCTAACGCAGCCTGGCTAGCCCCCCCAGTCCCACCACATCAGGTCCCCACTGAGGGAGTTTACATTGAGCCTCAGTCTTGAGGGGAAAGGAGGGATTTTCAGAAAGCCACAGAGCCATGTGAGCTTTGCCTCAGCGGCCCACTGGTAGAGTGCGCCTGGCAAATGAGGAACCACTGGCCGTTACCGCAGGTTCCTGCTGGGCCGGGGCAGGACGGAGGTCAGTATCCTCTGCGTAGACACAAACCTGGCTGCCAGGGGTCTGGCTATCTCCTGCCCACTAGTGGCAGCACCATTTGTGGGACAATGGCTTTTGTTTCTCACTCAACTCAACACTGTTAAAACTTGGCCTGGACCTCTTAAAATGAAACAAACATGCTTCCTGTACAGAGCTCCTCCATCCAAAATCCTAAACCCTTAGGTTTTCCTTTCAAATAACTTGTAAAAACAAATTCTCTAACATTTAGTGTTCAGATTTCTAGCCATATTTGACTCAACTTTCTGATGGTTTTTTGTTGTTGTTGTTCGCCCAATGTCTACCCCAACCCATTAACCATCCCCACCTCCCCAGACCCAAAATATGGGGCTGGACTCTTGGAAAGACCCTCTCAAGCTGAGTGTCTGTCCTTTCTCAGCTGTCTTGAAATTGCAACTTGGGGCAGGTATAGAGAGGAAAACGTGTTGGACTCGTCTATTATATTGAGAATCTCAATATAATACTCTCTTTTCTTTAAGACAACACTGTCTGTGATGGTCACATTCCAGAGATATCTTAAGCCTAATGGATACTAAAGCTCTATCATGTAAATCTTGTCCTATAGATACAGACAATAATAGTGAGGATTCAGAATATATACAGAAAAAATACATATGCGCATGTATTTACCATACATGTATAATCTATAAAGTATATATGATAAGTACAGGTATAGAAGAAATCACACCAAATTGTGGATGGCAGTCCATTCAGTAGAACGGGGTGGAATGTACCGTGTGTACGGAATTGACTAGAACATGCAGTATCCAGGCGTGGTAGGTGGGGTGGAAGGGAGAAGGTAGACTTTCCCTGCTTGAAATGTCTTTATATTTGGAATACTGTATAAGGAGTATGGACTCCTGTATTACTTGTGGTCCTCAAGAGCCAAAGCCAGTATATGGATTATACCATTTACATCACATTACTATCTGAGATCTATTTCTATTCCTACCCCTAGCTTATTTGAGAATGGTTTACCTGGGAGTGGCATCTCTCTTCCGCGTGACCTTGTAGAATCATATAATTAATCAGGTCTTCCCTTTGTTCCTTTGTAAAATCAAGGAGTTGAGCTAGCGGGTTCCCAAAGACCCTTCCAAAGTCAAAGCCATCATATCCCGTCATCGGTTCCTTTTGGGCTTTGATACTCAGGAAGTCCTTCTAGACAAATGGTGATGGGTGTTGCTTTCCAGACAAAGAGCGACGTGGAATGCTCCACATTCTTACCTGAAGTCCGTAGTTTCCACTGATGTAAAATAACGACTCAGAGATTGGGATGAACTGTACACATCTGTGAGCTAAAACAAACAGGAACAGGTAAAATGACCAGACGCATTCCAGATAGATCATACTGCATATCACCTGACAAAGCAAAACCCTCATAGACAGAGATTACACATGGGCTAGGAATTCACTTATCCGGACGCCCCGAACCAAGAAACAGGAAGGTTGTGGGCCTACCCCAGCCAAAACTCAAGTTAAAACTCATTGAAAAGAACCTCATTAATAAGGGGCAAGTGGCCAGGCTGGGATTTTCCACATCTCGTATGTGTTGTGCTGACGCCTGTAGCTTTCATCTTGGGAGTGGCCGGCAACCAGAGCCCACACAAACCCCAGGACCCCGGCAGGAGACAACATGCCCCCCAGAGCTGGCATATCACCGGACAAGGGCTTCTTCCCTCCTTTCTGTAGAGCTTTACTGTAAGGAGTAACAGCCACAGAAGCCAGAGGTATAGCACTTTCCCCCAGGTAATGGGACCAAGTGGGGCTAGTCAATAATTGCAAAGATACAGAGTTCTTATTTTATGCATGAAATACCGCAATCACACACACAAAATGACAGCTGTGTTCCCACCCAAGTGTCATGCCTTTTATCACACTCAGTTCAGTCCTTTACTTTCAGAAACGAAACAAAGCTAAACCCACTCCTACACAGGATTTTTCCTCCCGCCCTTCCCAAGTTCTAATCATTGTCCGGAAGGCAACATGGATCCTTTTCATGCAAGCTTTTACAAAGGTAATACTTCTTTGTGTGATCTTTGTGTAATCATAACAATTCATAATTAGTTTGTGTTTTTATTCAATTAAAAGGTGCCGTATTCTACATGGTCTTCTGTCACTTTTTTTTTTTTCAATCTCCTGAAGGTGGAGCAGAAGGGATCAGCGCACCTATTGTTTGTGTGCCTCCAACCTTGTCATTTTTCTCGTGATCTTTACAAGAACTCGACGTAGGAGGCATTACTACCTCTTCCCCTTTCATTAATAAAGGAAAGGGCTTTCGGAAAGCTCATGAAACCTGCCCAGTGCCACTCTGCTCATAAGGAATTCAGTCCTAATGACACTAAATCCCCTCTTCCTCGCATGTTCCCATGCTACCCAGTGAGGATGAAGCAAGACGGAAAGTGTCCTGAACACCAAGGAGGAAAGATTCATAAAGTGATAAGAACTTCGGGGGGGAAATGACTAAGTCATCTTATAGATTTTGAGCCTCAGGGAAAAGAATGCTGCCAACAGGCCCAAGCAAGAAGTAAGAGAGGCTCTCAGGGTTGCTCACAACAACAGGGCGGAGAAGGAGGGGGAGGAGGAGGAGGGGGTAGGGAGAGGAAGAAGAGGAGGGAAAGGAGGGGGAGGGAGAGGAGGGGAGAGGAGGGGGGAGGAGGAGATTGCTATAGATGGGTTTTTTCCATTCACTTCCTTACACACACACACACACACACACACACACACACACACAAATGTATTATGGAAGAGATTATGTGGTCCCAACCTTCTCTGCTCCCTCTCTCCTCTTCATTTTTAATCTTTAGGGCCTGGTATAATTTTGCACATAGTAGGCTCTCAGAAAAAAATTTGTTTATTTTTTAAAAAATGTTTATTCATTTTCAACAGAGAGAGAGAGAGCATGAATGGAGGAGGGCAGAGGGGGACAGAGGGTCTGAAGGGGGCTCTGTGCTGACAGCAGAAATCCCAACATGGGGCTCGAACTCACATACCATGAGATCATGACCTGAACTGAAGCAGGCCGCTCAACCACTGAGCCACTCAGGTGCCCTTTATTTATTTATTTTTAAATGTATATTTTTGAGAAAGAGGGAGGAGGGGCAGAGAGACCGGGAGAGAGCATCCCAAGCAGGACTCCTTGTTGTCAGCACAGAGCCCCATGCGGGGCTTGAACTCAAAACTGTGAGATCATGACCTGAGCCAAAACCAAGAGTCAGACGCTTAACCAACTGAGCCACCAGGGGCCCTGCTCAGAAAAATATTTTAAGCTAAAATTTTATGTTAAGAGCTGAAATGGTATACCAGATCCCTTTTAGTGTCCACTCTGTGATCTGATTCTTTTTGGTGACACGGTCTCCTGCTGTCATTAGGACATGTTCACATATCTGGGAGCTCTTAACCACATTACTTTGGCCCAAAGAAGTGAAATGAGGGGCCTCTCACCCTTCGCTCTGGTGAACCACACTGTGCCTACGCGGCCAGGTGCACCCAGGCGAGCGCCCAGTGAGCTGACTATCAGAGCCAGTTAATTCGGGATCAGGAGACAGCTTAGCTTGCCAGTGTTACCAGAGAAGCCACCATTAACACCTGCATCAAGCACACAGGCCTCGGTTAACACGACACGCAGCTAACAGGCTGCCTTACTCAGAATCAGGGCCCCACCTGGAAGGGAGAAAATTCCAGCAGTGGGATAAGGGAGAGGTTAGGAAAACTGTTTAGAGAGGCAAGACAATAAAGCAAAAGTGAGGACTTGGTGTTCCACAATTCCCACTCATTTACCTTCCATATCTGGAAACTTCCAGAAGTTGGCCTGGGTGAATGAATGAAGAGAGTTCTTGACCTAACAATACGACTAACACCTCATGGGGCGCCTGGGTGGCTCAGCCAGTTAAGCGTCCGACTCTTGATTTTGATCAGGTCCTGATCTCACAGTTGTGAAATGGAGCCCGGCATTGAACCCCATAATGAACCCCACATCGGGCTCCCGGTGCTGGGTGTATGAAGCCTGCTTAACATTCTCTCTCTCTCCCGGCTCCTGGGTGGCTCAGTCGGTTGATCATCTTACTTCGGCTCAGGTCATGATCTCACGGTTCGATGGTTCGTGGGTTGAGCTCTGCATTGGGCTCTGTGCTGACTGCCAGCTCAGAGCCTGGAGCCTGTTTCAGATTCTGTATCTCCCACTCTCTGACCCTACCCTGCTCACCCTGTCTCTCTCTCTCTCTCTCAGGAAAAAAAAAAAAAAAGATTCTTTCCCTCCCCGGCTCATGCCCACACAGGCACATGCACTCTCTTTCCAAAAAAAAAAAAAAAAAGAAGACTAATATCTCTAAATTCCTCACTTTTGTTCCTGAACATATTTGGTTGGGACACGAGGGTGCAGTAGCTCTTTCACCTCACTGTGCGCCTTGTATCATCTTGTAAACCAGATAGCTTTAAAAAAAAAAAAAAGGTTTCACAGAGGTCGGGCACCTGGGTGGCTCAGCAGGTTAAGTGTCCGACTTTGGTTCAGGTCATGATCTTGCGGTTTGTGAGTTCGAGCCCCACATCGGGCTCTGTGCTGACAGCTCAGAGCCTGAAGCCTGCTTCAGATTCTGTTTCCCTCTCTCTGTCCTCCCCGCCTCTCACTCACTCTCTCTTTCTCTCTCTCTCAAAAATAAACATTAAAGGAAAATGTTTTAGAGTTCTTTACATGCATCTCAGATGCACCTGTGGGTCTGCAGCGAAAGTACGATGATTTCCTTCGATCTGAGAAGGAACCAGATCAAACAGTCCTGTGAACTTGCCCCAGGGATCATGCCAGTCCCTGCCACTACTGCACAGTGATGAGCTAAAAATACCTGCAGAAGCTGCTCATGTCTGGCTCTGTGCCAGAGATATGGCTCTAGGGTGAATGATTAACATCCATTTCCCTCTGACATGAAGAATTCAGTCTGCAGTACGTGACATGTGCAGATGCTGAATCATTCCATTTCTGCTCAGCAAATGCAAAACCCCTTGACGAAAAAAACAATCAAGAGGAAAAAGGCAGGAGGCTATTTACTCAGCAACTTGCTCTGGAAGCAGGTGGAAGACAAGTAGGAAATGGGGCGTGCACATAAGATTTAAACAAGGAAGAGAAGGAAGAAGAGAAGCCCAGATAATCGTCCCAGAGCATAAACTCCTGTGACCCAAGGAGCACTCAAATATCGCGCACTTGAGGACCCAGAAATGAACTCTGGGGTGATGGAGAAGGAATTTCCTCCTGGGGGAGCTTTCCCAGGAATCAAACGGAAACCAAAGGGAAATGACTCACACCATTCAACCTACCAACTGCAGAGAAGAGCGCGACAGGCTGGTCTGGCTTAGATTCTCTTATCATATACTTTTCTGGGTCTGGCTGTGAACCCAACCAGCCCCCATGGTGAGGCTGCACAGCCCTCATATTGTGCAAAGGATCCTCTCCTGCGTTTCCTGCTCCACGAAACAATGCCACCATCCACTCACTCGGCCACCCAATTAGGAGCCTGGAGTCATGCTCTCCTTCATCCCCACATCCAACTGGCCGTTAAGTCCTGTTGCGTAAGAAGACCTCTTAAAACTGACTTGAGAGGCGCCTGAATGGCTCAGTCGGTTAAGCGACCGACTTCAGCTCAGGTCATGATCTCACGGTTTGTGGGTTTCAGCCCCATTCTGGGCTCTGTCAGCTTGGAGCCTGGAGCCTGTTTGCGATTCTGTGTCTCCCTCTCTCTGCCCCTGTGCTGCTCACGATCTGTCTTTGTCTGTCTCAAAAATAAATAAACATTTCAAAAACTAAACAAGAACAAAAACAGCTCACTTGGATCTTCCTTATTCCCCCTGCCAGTGCCCTGGGGCAAGGCCCCCGACATCTGTCACTTGAACCACTGCAGTACCTTCTAACTAAGCTCTCAGCCTCCAGAGTTTCTCCACCACCACACAGAAGGGCTCAAATGAAAGGCTGACCATGTCCACAAACAGATTAAAAATTTTCAGTGCCTTGCCAAAGAATAGGAAAGCCATGTCTCACATCTGCAAGTCCCCACCACACGGTACCCAGGGGCAGCAGCACACCGCTGCTCTTTTATCTCTGCTCTTTTATCTAGAACACTCCTGCCTCAGATTTCAAGACTCATCCTGAGTATCACCTCCTCCATGAAGCCCTCCAAGCCTCCACCCTCATCTCAGGTAATTTAGATGCCCCTCCTTTGTGGCTTTAAAATAGTCTATAAGTATCTCCATGATAGAACATAGCACACTGTTTTAGAACTACTTAATTGCTTCCTCTTCTTGGACTGGGAACCCCCACTGAGGGCACAGATCTTATGGCCCTGACACCTGGCATGCTGTCTAGCACACCACAGATCCTCAGTGACACGACAGGTTGAATCCAGTGTAAGACCGGAGTGAGGAAACTGAACACTGTCCTCCAGGACGCATTTAGCTGGCAGTCAAGGCTCTTCTCTCAGGCTACACACTATGGGGAAAATCCATGTCTAAGCATCAGTTTCTGCCAAAATCCAGACAAAGAATCCAAGCCCGAAGCTACTTACCTGATAGCCCTATGCCAGCTCTTCTCCAAGAACCCATTCTCATGTTAAGCATTTGGTAAACAATGATTAAGATATAATTACCCTTTTCCTGAGCAGGTCAGGCAGCTCCTCTTCAGTAGCACAGTCCTCTGGAACCTTTAGCATGACCAAGAATGTTTTATTTGATGATAATTCAAGTATTTCATTTTCATCTTCATCAATGTAAGTTGCTAAAGAGGGAGGGGATTAAAAAATACGAGTAAACACATGCTTCACATAATACACTGTTCCACTGGCTGCTGCAAAAAGCAAGGAGCATTCATCAAGGACAGAACCTAGACACAGTAAGCAGGCACACGCAGAAAGGCGTTGTCTTCTTGGTAATATCAAAATACCAAATGGAGGGGCCCTGCCTCCGTTATGACAATTTTATCTGTGTGTTTTAGACCAGAACAGGTCCCAGATTCCATCGAATACAAATGGGTAAAGCCGGTGGGGGTGAGTGGAAGAACATGAATTTCCTTGTTAAACTGAACCTGCAACCTTAGCTACATACGTGGGTGTCGCGGCAGGCGTTGAAGGGGGTTTGTGGGTGAATGGCGGGCGACGGGGGACAGGGATCGGGGGGAGCAGGAACTTCAGTGAATCACCTCCATTCTGGGCTCCCCAAGACCACGCTGAGAAAGGGACATCATGGACCAGAACAGCGTGGGACTAGAAATGAGCCAATGTCTTGACATTGCCCAAGACGACCAATGGTGGGCATGAAGCCATGGCTCTGCAGTCTGTGTTCTGCACGAGACAGATGTTGACCCATTCTGTTTGTAGAAGGGACACCTAACTGGACACAGAGCCCCAGGGCCTTGCGTTCCTGGCGTAATGAGGTCCGTGTGGCTGCCAGCACTCTAATGACGATGAGCTCATTGAGTTTTAAGCAGTTAAAGCCAAAGGAAAAACACACAAAGTCAGGGGCCAGGGGCTAGAAGCTGGCACTCATGGTACTGACTCTGTTCCCCGGGCTCCGCGCGGGCCTCACGGCTGGGCGCCCAAAGGAAGCACCTCTCGGGCCCTGAGAAAGGCGTGGGTGGTAGAAGCAGGTGTCCGCGCTGCCTTAGACTTTCCTCACAGATCCCAAAGTTCAGACATAACATAAGCAGCCTCTTTTACGAGACTTTGAAAATGCCATCAGTGAATGATGGAAGGGCAGGTGAAAAGAAGTAAGAACGCTGATATTTATCTCCTTGCACAGGTCAGGAAATGGGACGCATGAGGAACGAGGGAACGTGCAGAAAAGAGCTCACATGGCCTGAGATGAGCAGCTGAGAAAGGCCTGCTCAAGGCGGGCCCCTCGCTGGCCTCTGGGAACCTGGATTTGGGGAGGGTTCCCACCTCTCCGAAGAGGGGCTCACTGTGCCTCAAACTGTTGGTATAAACAGCGTGGCTTATGCTGAACACCTCCTTTCCTTCTGGGCATCTGGAACTTTACTATGTACCAGGCAAACGCTGCCTATGGGAATAACCCCAATAAAAACCCCTGGGCACCGAGCCTCTAATGAGCTTCCCTGGTAGACAACCTTTCACACGCGTTGTTACATCTCATTGCTGGAGCACGTAAGTGTGTCCTGAAGTTTGTGTCTAGTTTCCTCTGGATTTTGCTTTCTATCACTTCGCAATGATGAACTGTAATCGTCTCTATGACTACATGCTGAGGCCCATGAGTTCTCCCGGCAAATCATTGGATCTAGGCATAATCTTGAGGGCCCCAAACACAGGGAATGACCTCTGCACCCTTGTTTGTTGTAAGTCATTACATTATTTTGTCTGACAGTAAAGTTATGTCTGCATAGCTGCAAACTTGCCAAGTACAGGAAATAGCAGAAAACAAGAAAAAATTACTAGTAACTCCTTAACCAACAAGTCTTCCCCCATATTTTATTTTAAAAAATTTTTAATTTTTTTAATGTTTTATTTATTTCTGAGAGAGGGAGAGAGAGAGTCAGCATGAACAGGGGAAGGTCAGAGAGAGAGGGAGACACAGAATCTGAAACAGGCTCCAGGCTCTGAGCTGTCAGCACAGAGCCCAACGCGGGGCCGGAACCCACAAACCATGAGATCATGACCTGAGCCGAAGTCGGACGCTTAACCGACTGAGCCACCCAGGCGCCCCTAAAAATTTTTTTTTAATGTTTATTTTTGAGCAAGAAAGAGAGACAGAGCATGAGAGGAGGAGGCGCAGAGAGAGAGAGGGAGACACAGAATCCAAAGCAGGGTCCAGGCTCTCAGCTGTCAGCACAGAGACCAACATGGGTCTCAAAACCACGAGCCATGAGATCATGACCTGAGCTGAAGTCAGAAGCTCAACTGACTGAGCCACCCAGGCGTCTCCCCTCATATTTTATGTTATATATTTTAAGGCTCCATTAGAAGACTATTGCTTATTTGTCTTGATTCTGTTGTTATTGTTGTTGTTAACAACATAACAACATAACAAAATCTGTTTCCCCTGGTGTCTGGAATTCTTTTCAAAGATTATTCTAATGGCTCCATAAGGTTCATAATTGGCTCATAATTGGCTTAGTGTCTTCACTTTCCAGAGTAATAATGCTGTGATGGGTATCTTGATTACAACCACCACATTATAGTTCCATAGCAGATAGCACTATCCTGGAAAGGACCAGGGAAAGCCAGAAAATGAATTCAGGATTCACACAACTGCTGAATTCAAAGACTCTGAGAAGACACACCAAAAGAGCTCCAATGACAGACACTTATATCATCCAAATAATGAATCTGTATCAACACCTGGCTAAAACAGTTGTGTTTGTTACAATAATACTAACAATGACTTATCCAATCAGGAGAGTTTTTATGCCACTAATAAGACTGTATCTGGAGTGAGAGAAAGTGTTTTTTAAAAAATCACGAAACAGGGGCGCTTGGGTGGCTCAGTCGGTTAAGCGTCTGACTCTTGGGTTCAGCTCAGGTCATGATCTCACAGTTTTGTGCTTTTAAGCCCTCCATCAGGCTGTCCACTGATGGTGCAGAGCCTGCTTGGGATTTTCTCTCTCTCTCTCTTTCTCTCTGCCTCTCCCCTACTCACGCTATCTCTGTCTCTCTCAAGATAAATGAATAAACTTAAAAAAATTTAAAAACGAGGCACCTGAGTGGCTCAGTCAGTTAAGCGCCCAACTCTTTATCTTGGCTCAGGTCATGATCTCACCGTAGGTTTGAGCCCCATGTCTGACTCTGTGCTAATGGAGCAGAGCCTGCTTGGGATTCTTTCTCTCCTTCTCTCTGGCCCTCCCCCACTTGTGCTCTGTCTCTCTCAAAAAATAGAAATAAAAATAAATTTTAAAAAATAAAAATAAATAAATAAAATATTTTTAAATTAAAAATTATAAAAATAAATGAATCACAAAATATACAAAGTATATTGGAGATACACAAAACATCTCTTTGGCTGGAATATAAGAAATGAGGCTTCAGAAGGAGGCCTTAAATGCCAGATGTCTTCAGGAGATGATGGAAGTTTTCAAATGTCTCCCAGGAAGGAAGTGGAGGAAAATCTGGTGATGGATGGGAAGAAAGGAACTGGGAAGGATGAGGCGGACACACCACAAGACACAAGATTGGGAGAGACTGATTCTGACTGAAGGGCAGTGGAGATCAGAAGGAAGGAGGGAGGGAAGGAGAAAGCCTGAGATGGTGGAGACCGAACTGGCTTTGATGGCAGTCAGACTTAGTTTGAACCTCGGTGTTGGCTACTATTCATTAGCTGTGTGAGCTGCATTAGTCACTTAAATCTCTGAAGCTGTTTTCTCAACAGAAATATCAACAGCTCCATAGTGGGAAATGGGAAAAGTGGGAAGCAACACATACAGAATCCCCACACAGTAGCCTGCAGCAAGTGGGCAGTCACTGATAACGGTTGCTATCCAGGTACTACCAAGGAATGACTGGATAAGACTGGATAAGATTTGATGACTCCATGGATACAGGAGAGAAGAACAGATCAAAACCAGTTCCAAGATATCAAGCCCGGACGACAGGAAGAATAGCTACCGTACTAACCATTACGTACAGACACTGGGCTGCATGCTTGCAGACGGAAATCTCAAATCAACCCTATGAGTTTAATATTAAAGTTTTCATTTTATTTATTTTTTTAAAGTTCTTATTTATTTTGAGAGAGAGAGAGACAAAGTACGCATGAGAATGTGGAAGGGAGAGAGAGAATCCCATGCAGACTCCATGCTGTCAGCCCAGAGCCTGATGTGGGGCTCAATCCCACGAACCGTGAGACCACGACCTGAGCTGAAATCAAGAATCAGACACTTAACTGACTCAGCCAACCAGGTGCCCCTTATTTTCATTTTAAAATGAAGACATTGAAGCTTGGAGAAAATGGATAATTTGTTCAGGTCAGGTTGAGCTAGTAAACAGTAGGCTCAGGGTCCATCTATAGATTCAGATTCAGAAATCATTAATATTTCATAAATGTGGAAACTGAGGCTAAGGAAGTTGAAGAAATTGCCTGAAGGTTTTCAGATGGATGGTGGCAGAGGGGGAATAAACGGAGCCTCACGTGTCACCATGAAACTACAGAGTGAGCCAACGGGGAAAGGGGATACAGATGAACAGTAGTTTCATATAATGATGGAGACGATCAGGTAGAGATCTCCGGCCAAGAGTATGACTCAAATTCAGGGTAAGTGTGTGTGTGTAGATCTAGGAGTCATCTCCAAGAGGGTGGCTGCTGCCTTGGGAGTGAATAGGCTCCTCAAGGGAAAGGGTGTAGAGTGTGAAAAGTCAGAAGGTTGAAGACAAGCTTCAAGTACCACATGTGGAGCCAAAGGCAGAAGCGGCAGGAGACGTGAGGCCCAGGAGTTCTGTAGACCCACAAGAACATAAAACCCTCAACAGAACTGGACTCCAAATCAAGCAGGGATGCGGGAGAGGCCGCTGGGCTTCGTGATCAAGCAATTACTGGTAACGTTGAGAAGAACAACTTGGAACCAGTGGGTTGGGGAGTAATCAGGAGGCAAGATCGAAATGCAGGCCTCTGTTTCTAGAAGTCTGCCAGTGAAAAAAGAGAAAAAGAAAAAAAAAAAAATCCTAACGTGAAGTAGCAAGATTCTGAGGGAAGAAAAATTTGAATGACAGACAATGGCCACACATTTGAAGAGGCCCACGTTGAGAAAACCCCGGACGCTCAGCCAGACAAGGAGCTATCTAAAGGTCTGTGGGTTAGGAGAAGCTGGGGAGATTCCGACAGAGAGCATTAAGGGAAGAGGCTGGTCTTGGAAAGGTGGAGAAACATATGAAGTTTGAGGAAAAGAGAAAGAGGTGAAAACACAAAAAAACTTCAAGGACCTGGGCCTACACATTTGCTACTAAGTTCCTGCCCCTGAAGGCCTTGCTAGTTTATAACTTGCTAGTGCTGTCTGCCTCGGGTTTTCCCATGAGTCACCCTGCACCAGGGAGCACTGCCCTGTGCAACCTGTCTGCTGACACACTGTGACATAAAACGTGGCTCTTAGACCAACTGAAAGGCAAAACAATCGATTCAGCACACGCCACTTCTGAAGTGTCTGCTTGCATCTTTGACTACGACCTAGATATAGGAGAGAAGAGGAGATCAAAAACAGTTTCCAGATATCAAGCCTGGACAACAGGAAGAGTAGCTACTTTACTAAGCATCATGTGCAGATACTCAGCTATGCCCTGGTGGGTGTAATTCTCATGTAATTCTCAAATCAACCCTAGGAGTTAAACACTAATGTTTTCATTTAAAAAAAATGTTTTAAATGTTTATTTATCTTTGAGAGAGAGATAGAGAGCCAGTGGGAGAAGGGGCAGAGAGAGAAGGAGACACAGAATCTGAAGCAGGCTCCAGGCTCTGAGCTGTCAGCACAAAGCCTGACTCAGGGCTTGCACTCATGAACTGTGAGATCATGACCTGAGCCGAAGTTGGACTCTTAACCAACTGAGCCACCCAGATGCCCCAAATGTTTTCATTTTAAAATGAAGACATTGAAACTTAGAGAAAATGCATAATTCGTTCAGGTCAGGTTGAGCAAGTATCTTGGTACCACAGCATTCCTACTCACGGAAAAGCCTGTATGTCAAGAGAACAAAGAAATCAAGCAGAAATCTAATGCTGGAGGGTATCACATAAGCGTCCCCACAGTGTTAAATCTGATCACCTTTAAATTTCCAAGTGCCCATCTACTTGCCACAGTTTGGCTTTTGTAACATTTAGCATACTTTGCCCAATCCAGGTAGAGTTTCATTCGTAGGGTGTTACTCAGGTCTCTCCCCTTCCTGGCTGGGGCGAATCAGTGAAAAAAGCAGAACACTGAAGGATGCTTATCACTGAAGGATCCTCCAAATTATCCAGAAAGAAGTTGACTCTCAGAAAGAGAGAGAGAAAGAGAGAGAGAGAGAGAGAGAAAAAGGAAGGCTTCCCCCCCCACCCCGCCTTTACCATTTATATCAAGAAACTCATGATTCTTTAGAGAGAAGAGAATCTATCATTATCTCTCCCCTCAAGAGCTGAGACAAAACCAAGCCTTCAGACTCAACAGAATTCCCTGGGCTCTGCTCCCAAACTTGGCCACTTTATAAAGATTTCACTGTCTACCGTGAGCCTGGCAGAGTGCTAACCCCTCCTGAACAGGGTGTCAGCAGCCCCGGCTCAGTGTTGTAAGCAGAGTCATGATCCTGAATTTGCCATCACTTCCATGGCATGCCAAGGGTGAAGCGGCTGGACAGCACCCCCTTGGTGCAGGCAATAAGGGGTGCACAATCTGCAGAAAATTAGCAATAATAAAACAGACCTTAGTTGATGGCCATTCTTAACACTGTTAGTGACAAGATATCCCTCTGCAGTGGATACCTCTCCTTGGGGACCCCAATGTGCCCTCCTCAGCTAATTACCCTTCCACTGTGGGGCCTGCTTCGTGTCTGCTCCTGTGTCCACTCCAGCTCCACAGTTATTAACACCTCTGCCTCAGAGCCTCCGTCTGCGTACACGGAACCCCGAGACAGGACACCGAGGAGCTAGAGGAAGGGAAGAAGGAGGCCAAAAAAAAATGGTGAAGGCAGCTCAGGAGGAACCTCACTTTTTTTTCAAAAACATTTTTAATGTTTATTTATTTATTTTGAGAGAGACAGAGAGAGAGAAAGGGGTTGGGGGGGAACAGAGAGAGAGGGAAAGAGAATCCCAAGCAGGCTCAGTGCTGTCAGCACAGAGCTCGATCTTGAGAACCGTGAGATCATGAACCATGAGATCACGACCTGAGCTGAAAGCAAGAGTCTGACGCCCAGTCAACGGGGCCACCCGGGTGCCCCTGAGGAACCTCATTTCTTTTTTTTTTTTTTTAATTTTATTTATTTCTAGGAGAGAGAGAGAGACAGCGTGAGCAGGGGAGGGTCAGAGAGAGAGGGAGTCACAGACTGAAACAAGCTCCAGGCTCTGAGCTGGCAGTCAGTGCAGAGCCCGACGCGGGGCTCGAACCCACGAACTGCGAGATCACGACCTAAGCGAAAGACGGACGCTTAACCGACTAAGCCACCCAGGCGCCCCGATTTCTTAATGAAGCCAGACAGTCATGTGTGCCGCCCATGACTCTCCTAACACCGTGCTTTTCCAGACAGCAGTGTTTTCCACACAGAGCTCAGAAGTTCTAAGAATCTGATTCCTTTGCTGGGGCTTGGCAATTGGGCAATGACAATTACTATATACTATCATCCCAGAAGTACCTACAGAGCTGGCTCCGGGGGAGGCCGGGACTGTCACGGAGGGGCGCCCTGTCCCTGCCCCTTTTACCTACTGCAAACTCCTACCACCACCAAAGGCCCAAACCCCTGAGGGCTGAGGTGTCAAGTAAAGTAAAAGTATTGCTCTGATTTAAAAAATGTGAAAAGTTTGCAAATCTCTCTATAGCATTACATTTTTAAATACGATTTAATAGCCACATCGAAAATGAACAACTCCACGTGGCACAGAGCTCTTCCCCGAATATTATCCTGCGACCTCTCACGTCCCCCGAGAAACCGTGGAGGGAAATGGAACGTCTTCCTCTGCAGATCCCTGTTTGTGAAGAGGTTGGATGAGCTTTGAGAATGGAAGACAGCTCTCGGGTCTTGTGCGTTAGAATCCTGAATATCAAACCAACTGGATCTGCTGTATCATCCTCTGCTAGAGGCCCCAGATGCGAAGAGACAAGTCGGCCAGCCTCCAGGAGAGCACCACCTAATTGTGACGGGACAAGGCTGCACGCCTCAACCTCAGTTTCGACATCCACGTGTGGGAGCTGATGGGAAGAGGGACTATGAAGGTCCGCCCCAAATCTGCTGTCCTCAACATGATGGAGAGGGCTGGCACCTCTTATCACCTTCTCCCTACCTCAAAACCAGCCCATGGCCTCCAAGGATCACCCATCCCACTTCACCTATGCCTTAAGTAACTAAGCACACATGGTGCTTGCCTGAGAAACTCGCCTGCTGGAGGTTGGCATAGATCTTCCAACTTTCCTATTCCTTCATGGACTTTAAGCCCTTGAGACAGGAGAGGAGGAGGTGGGGAGGAGGAACATGCGGTGAAGGGCAAGTGGAATTCCTGAGGAAATTCCCAGGACCCCTTCTGGAGAGACTCGGGGGCTCCTCAGTCTTGCTCTCACCCAAGACTGGGTTTACTAAGAAGAATCCAACTCAACCCACATCCTTGTGGAGACCCGATCACCCTCAAGAGTATCCCAACTCCAGAAAAAGTATCCCGACTTCCTGGCCCCTGCAATCATCCCCACTTATAAATAAAAACAATTTTCTTCTTTCCTATTTTAAAGCTGAAATGATCGCCCACTGGAGGGTCCTATATTTATGCATCACGAAAACCTTAATACCAATAATCATAAAAAATTAGCAACTTTTTAAAAATTTTTTAATTTATTTCTGAGAGAGAGAGAGACAGTGTGAGCAGGAGAGGGTCAGAGAGAGAGGGAGACACAGAATCTGAAACAGTCTCCAGGCTCTGAGCTAGCTGTGAGCACAGAGCCCGATGTGGGACTTGAACCCACAAACTGTAAGATCATGACTTGAGCTGAAGTCACACGCTTAACCGACTGAGCCACACAGGTGCCCCAGCAACTATTCAAAAATGCTTTAAAATGGTGTGGAAGACTACATCACACAGTCATTCAAAGAAAGTGTTCACAAATAAGTTTTTTAATGTTTACTTATTTTTGAGAGAGAGAGAGAGTGTGCACGAGTGAGGGAGGAGCAGACAGAGAGAGGGACAGAAGATCCAGAGTGAGCTCTGTGCTGACAGCGGACAGCCCGATGCAGGGCTCGAACTCACCAATCATGACCCAAGCTGAAGTTGGATGCTCAACTGACTGAGCCACCCAGGCACCCCTCACAAATAATTTCTAATGAATTGGCAAAATGGTCTCAATATAGCATTAAAAATCCTAAAGGTAGGCCACAAGACAATTAAAAAAAAATTTGATCTCAATTTTAAAAATGTAAGTGAGAAAAGGATAGAAGAAAATATAACGAAATATTAATATTATAGATGGACTTCTTGGGTAACTGAATGTGTATTATTTTCATATTAATAATAAATAATAAATAAAATAATATATGTAAAGGATTTGGTTAGCACCATGTTTTTGTTTTGTAAACACACATAACACAAATTTCCAATATATATATAATAAACACTTATTTCCAAAATAAATTAATGACAGTGTATAGATTGATGGTTCTTTTGAAGTTTTTAAGATGCTTTCAAATGGGCTATTCATTATTTATCATTATAATAACATACCAGGTATATCAGATGAAGTACAATAATTATTTTACCAAAAAAATGATAGGAAAAAATTTCAAGCAAGCAGATGTAGAGATACAATAAATATAAATTAGCGTTTAAGTTAACGCAAGAAATCTTCAAGATCCAGTGGGCAGAATTTAAAGCAAAATGTTGGTCTCCACCCTTCTTTCAGAGGTTATAAAGCAAACCAAAAGAGACGTGAAATAAAGCAAATAAAGAATCATGTATAGCTACCACTCACAGCAATTCCAAATCAGTTTTGAATTCATATTATAATGAAATAGCAATCAGCACATCTTTCATATCATAAACAAGTGTAAGTCATAAACATTAAAGGTGTTCTTATAATGCACCAACTTAGTCCTATTTACGTCCTCTTACCTCCAATAAGACATAAGCTTATGATGATCACTACAACGAGACCTAGGAAAACAGCGGCAATGACCATCCACAGTTTGCATTTTCCAATCAATTTCTTATTACAGGAGCTCCAAGGGTTCTCCTTGTCAGCCTGGAAAGCAGAGGGACACTGTGAGGCAGCCACTGGTCTCAGCATGGACTTCTGAATGCTCACGAAGGGCTAGTCATACAGAAAGGAAGGTAGCGGGATCCTGCCCTCTAGGGGGCTACACTCCACAGAGACGTGTTTAGGAAGAAGCAGAATGGAACCTCACACAGAAGTGAAGGACAAAACCCCTGGTGGCCCCGAGGTGGGGAAGTTAGGCAGGATTCGGGAGGCTGGACAGAGAAAGGCATTCTGAAGCCGGGAGAGCGCAAGCATCCGCGGTGTGGATCCGTGACGGACTTGGCCAAGAGCCTCATCTAACAGGAATGTGACAAGTAATAACCTCTAAGATTAGAGAGAGTGAAAGGCTGGAGCATCCTTGAGAGGCTTCTGAATGCTGTCAGAGCAGTTTGGACTTAGTGTGGTGCGTGCTGGGGACCTGTGGAAGGTTCTGGAGCACAAGAGGTGAAGAATAAGAGAAACATGATGTGTACAAAAGCTAAGAGGCTACGGCTGTGACCCATACCACAGAATTAGGGCCCGGGAAGGGAAGTGAAAGGAGGAGAGACACCAGGAAAAACGCTGCCGTGGGTGTAGTGAGGCAGCCACCGCCATGCTTTATTGATTGCCAACACCAGTTCATTTCATTCTAACAGCCCCGCCCGGGAGGCACTGGCCCATCTCCAAGACGCAGGTACAGAGAGTAGGCAGGGCTGATCCCGGCTGTGGTCCCTGCAAAGCTGGCCCCTTTCGTTCACAGCGCCCTGTGCCATCGTGCAGAGCTCCAGGTTATGAGTGGGCCCGGTGGCCACGGGTACCTCCACTCGGTGCCACCACCTGCCCCTACAAGGTCCCTTCTGCTTCCCACTGAACCATTAGGCAATTCGCACACAGAGACCAAGGACTGCGATGGGGACGAAGTGTGTGTCTGTATCGGGCCTCCCTCCCCACGCTTACGAGCAGAGTGACCGCAGAGGGACCGTCTCAGTCAGCAAGCTCCTGAAGCTCACCAGCCCCAACATCCTCAACTGTGAAAACGACAAGGGGAGCACCCAGGGCTGTTGTAGAAACTAAAGATGGCGCTAAACAAACATTAGGAATTCAACAAGTGACAGCAATCATCACTCGGTGTTCTCGTCCCACAAAGCAGCAGGGGGCACTTCTGGAGCCCTGCTCCTGAAAAGACACCCTGTTTACTTCCTCTCCCGTCATGATGGTGCTGGTGGCCAGCGGAAGAAGGAAGGTGCTCACTTTAGGACTACAGTTCAGACTTTCTCGGGGAGAGGCTCCCAGGCCCCGCTGCACATCAGAATCAGCTGAGGAGGAATTTAAACCACGTACAACGAGGGGAGCCTGGGTGGCTCCGTCGGTTAAGCATCTGATTTCAGCTCACATCAGGAGCTCAAGGTTAGTGGGTTCGAGCCCCGCGTCGGGCTCTGCGTTGACGACTCCAAGCCTGGAGCCTGCTTCCAATTCTGTGACTCCCTCTCTCTCTGCCCCTCCCCTGCTAATGCTCTTTCTCTCTCAAGAATGAATAAACATTAAAAAAAAATTTAAATAATAATAAAAATAAATAAACTACACACCCCGAGGCCCTACCTGGACACAGGGGACCAGATGGTTGAGGAGGTGAGGGCAGGCCCCCATCTGTAATTTTGAGCCTCCGAGACTAAATCAGTTGCTCTATCAGGGTGGGGACTTCTGTCCTGAAGCCTCGTCACCTCTTCAGGAAGCAAGTCAGATGTCTCCTTTTGCGGAGGGCTCCCTGCCACGTGGTCCATGGAGCAATTCCCCCCGAACATAGCTGTCCACACGGCCCATCTGCCCCTGCTTGTCTGGTTTCATGTTCAAATATAAACAGATACCAGCTTATCGTCTAAGGTAAACTGAAACCAGATAGAAGGAGGGTTCTCCTTAACTTCCTTGTTCTCACATCCCACTCTTGTGCATCATTCAGGTATGAGGCATGTAACACATGTGTGTGGCTTCGTTGTAGAGGCTTCTAAGAAGGTACTTGGAGAAATTCTAGAGTACAGCTCACATTTTGAAGCCCCCTGAGTGCAACTTTACATTGGCTCCTCCGGTCAGGTGTGAAGGAGCAATAAAGGGAACATCTGGACAGAAAAAAGTGCTCGAGGTAAGTGTGTTTCTGGAGTTCAAGGACAGTGCCGCCTCTCACCCAATCAATTGCAAACTGCTCCAAAGCCACCAAAGCCAAGGGCTCAGAAAGGCGCGTGGGAAAAAGAAGTCCCAGTACAAGGAATCTTTGACTTCTCAGGGAACAGGATTATATCTTCCTACTTACAGAGCCCCTAAGAACAAAACGACTCCATGCCATTTTCAGTCCTTTTTTTTTTAAGTTTACTGATTCACTCTGAAAGGAAGATAGAGAGTGGGGGAGGGGCAAAGAGAGAGGAAAGGCAATCCCAATCCTTGCACCGCCAGCGCGAAGCCTGCCATGGGATCGAACCCATAAAATGAGAGATCATGACCTGAGCCGAAACCAAGAGTCGGACGCTTAACCAACCGAGCCACCCAGGTGCCCCGCCATTTTCAGTCCTTATACAAGAAGCAGCCAGGACCATAAGATTAGCACAAAATGAAATGGGCTAAAGTTCAAATGACCCACAGAATGCGGGTCAATGCACCTCTCTGGCCTCTTGGTGCCTTCACTAATGTTTTCCCTTACAGATAATAAACTAGGATCCCGGGGGCACAGCGGGACCACTCCTTTGACATCCGAGGGCAATCAGCTCAGAATTACACAGCCCTCACCTGTACAAAATGCATCTTCCTGTCCAGCCCAAAGCTGCCAACTTACAGCCGGTTCACTGTCCTGCCGCCAGCCCGAGGGGGGAGACCCTACCCTTTGCGAAATTAATCTTCTCAGACTTTAAGCCATTGTAAAGGAGTCGGTCGGCTACTCCCAACCCAAAGACAAATGACAGTGCTTCCCAGCTCTCTGCACATTAGATTCAACCAAGAACTGTGTATTCTTTACACGTCATCTACCCCCCTCCAAGAGATTCCACTGTGCCCTGAGGGTGAAGAGCCTCTGAAACAGCAGGTGAGTGCTCCCTACACTGAGATTCCCCTAAAAACCAGATCACAAAGACACACTGCCTCCTTCACTGGCATCTTCTTTCTCTCACGCCCAAATTCTAGGTCCAGAGGAGAAGCCACAGGCAGCTTTTTCTGCAGAGTGCTTTCCAGAGATGTTTGCCAACTGCATCTTACGTTCTGTGATTTGCATTATGTGGCTCAAGAATTTTTGTAGCTTTCCTCTGAACATTCCCCCAGATATTCACCTCCAAATACGTGACCAAAGGCCCTGCATCAATGGCAGGACTACCTATCTCTTGGATACAACAAGCCCTTCCGTGCAACTACCTGGACGGAACTAGAGGGTATTATGCTAGGCGGAATCAGTCAGTCAGGGAAAGACAGATGTCGTATGACTTCACTCATATGGGATCTTTAAGATACAAAACAGATGAACACAAGGGAAGGGAAGCAGAAATAATATAAAAACAGGGAGGGGGACAAAAACATGAGACTCTTAAATACGGAGAACAAACAGAGGGTTACTGGAGGGGGTGTGGGGGGGGATGGGCTAAATGGGTAAGGGGCACTAAGGAATCTACTCCTGAAATCACGGTTGCACTACATGCTAACTAACTTGGATGTAAATTAAACAATAAATAAATTTTTTAAAAAAGCTTTTCTTCTCGGGGCGCCTGGGTGGCTTAGTCGGTTGAGCGTCCGACTTTCGCTTGGGTCATGATCTCGCGGTTCGTGGGTTCGAGCCCCGCGTCGGGCTCTGTGCTGGCTGCCAGCTCGGAGCCTGGAGCCTGTTTCAGTCTGTGACTCCCTCTCTCTCTGGCCCTCCCCTGCTCACGCTGTCTCTCTCTCTCCTAAAAAAAAAAAAAAAAAAAAAAAAAAAAAAAAAAAAAAAAAAAAAAAAAAAAAAAAAAAAAAAAAAAAAGCTTTTCTTCTCTTTGGCTCAATTAGGAGCAGATATTGTACATATCTGGAAATTTTTTCTTAGCGTGTAGGAAAATCTGTACTTTGTAATCTCATTGTGGGATTTAATTCACTTGTCCACACATAAAAAATCTAGCTGATTCTTGTCGTAAATTCTGAACAAGGCATAGCAATGGGACTAATTTTTAGCTAGCCCATCCACAGAAGTCTTGCCTACTTAAAACTATCAATTTATTGCATTATTATTATGATGATGCCGCCATCTTTTAAAATGTCTCCTGGACTTCTAGTCGGGAACCAAGGTCAGAGCCCATGTGATGAGCTATAAAAGAAAACCAGTCTCCCTCTATTACCCATAACTTCCTTTTCATTCCTGACTCAACTATATTGCCATGTGTACAGTGACAACAGGCAAAGTAAACTCAGTGGCTTACATTCCTTTCCTTCAAGCTCCAAGCCCAGATCAAGAAAGGGAAAAAAGTTCTTTCCACCACCTCTGTATACCTTCCCAGATCAGACCTTCCAACCAGGAAGGTACCCATGATATGGGATGTCTTCTTCCCAACGGTCCCAAAACTGTCCCCTCCTCTTCACCCATCCACCTGCAACTCCCTCCTCATCGCAGATATGCTACGCGGATACTCATAGTTCACTAAAGTCCCCGAACTTACAGAAATTGGTAATATATAATTTAGGCAATTAGACATGAGGATAAATTACATATGTTCTCTCTCTCTATCATTAAAATAAATCCATAAAAACAGTATTAGGTATGAGACCTAAAAAGTCCGAGTTCAGATCTCAGAATCACCACTGAGTATTTTAGTAACTTCTCAGAGCCTCCAGTTTGCAGTTTCTTCATCTGTCAAATCAAAATACTGACAGCTTCCTCTGAAGTTTGTTGGGGTAATCAGAAGCATTTATATATGAGGAGAAGTACTTGGCACATGACAAGTACGAAGCATATGGTTACCGAAAACACATGGGCTTTAGCTACATTTCAAAATTGGAAATCTCAGCATAGAGTTGAAGGTGACCTACACACAAAGTTCTCAGATGCCTGGATCTTGTGCTTGTGCATGGCAGCATTTTACAGGACTGTACAGTAGTTGACTTTTCAATTTAAAGTACATTCCAGGGGGGCGCCTGGGTGGCTTAGTCGGTTAGGCGTCCGACTTTCGCTTAGGTCATGATCTCGCGGTTCGTGGGTTCGAGCCCCGCGTCGGGCTCTGTGCTGACTGCCAGCTCAGAGCCTGGAGCCTGTTTCAGAGTCTGTGACTCCCTCTCTCTCTGACTGTCCCCTGCTCACGCTGTCTCTCTCTCTCTCTCTCTCTCTCTCCTAGAAATAAATAAAACATTAAAAAAATTTTTTTAAAAATAAGCTAAAAAAAAAAATAAAGTACATTTCAGGGGTGAGCCTGGGTGGCTCAGTCGGTTAAGCGTCCGACTCTCTATTTTGGCTCAGATCACGATCTTATGGGTGAGTTCGAGCCCCACATCAGCTCTGTGCCGACAGCACCGAGCCTGCTTGGGATTCTCTCTCTCCCTCTCTCTCTCTGCCCCTCCCTCAGGCACTGTCTCTCTCTCAAGATAAATGAACTTATAATAAAACAAAATACACTTCGGCTTATTCTACAGAACCGAAGAGAATGATTAACACGCTAGATGAGGATTTTCTCTTTTTTAATGTTTCCTGTTCAAATATTTGAATGCCCTCCAAGTGCTCATGTAACCCTTCACCTTGACGCCACTCCATCACTCACCATAGCTTTTCCTATTTGGTGACCTACAAAGCTAATTGACAAGGAAGTAAGTCTAGGCTCTCGGTGTACACCTGGCTGACGAAGAAGTTAATTAGAACATGAGAGCAATCTCTCCTGGGTAGGTACTAAACAATTACAGAATACGATGCCCCACGTGCGTGTGGCTTCTACTCATCTGTTTTCAGCAAGGCATTCCCAGGCCTCCCAGAGAAGCCCAGTTAACCACATTACCTGGGAGCACGGACCTTTGCGCCTTGCCGCAGGGCACACCTTTAGTGGTGAAGTTGTCACCAAAATCCTATCTCTGGATCCAGTCCCGGGAGTCACTAGGGAGTCCTGGGTCTATCGAATATGAAGCAAGGATTCCCAAATCCGTTCCTAGACCCTGCCTTGGAGGGCTGAGGCAGAGAGCCCACACTGGTAGCCACCTGCACAGATATGAGACCATCTTCCATCCACCTTCATTCCTCCGCGGTGTTCACCTTTCCTTCATAATATCCCAAATCACTCTCCAGGGTATCCATAGGTACTTCTAAAAACAGACTTTACAGTGTTTCCAGGAACCCATGCAAAAGCAATGCTTTCACCGTCTGATTTCCTTGCTTATCCCTGAAATCAACAGCAGAGTAGTCAAAGGCGTGGGAGTACAGAAGTGAGATCTTAAAAAGATCGCGTTGGAGCCACATATAAGAGGAATTCCAAGCACCCTGTAAACCTCAAGCCAGTCTTAGGGGTTAATCAGACGGTAGACGGCTGTGAATTCAAAGTCTCCTCTAGTTTACAAGCATTTGATGAGAATGAATAATGTTCACTGCTAGGGCCGGAGCGGAAAAGAGGTCTTTAGAGACTGAAAGGAAGCCCAAGCAAAGAGCAACGCATTAGTCTAGTTCTTCGGGACAAGAACATTGGAATTGTTTCCCATCAACTGAGCAGGGCAAGTTCACTCGCTTCTCCCCTCTCTTCCGGAGAAGTCAAAGACCAGGAAAATTTTGAAAAAGTGTGTGTCTGAGGGATGTGAGCCGGGAAAGGGTGTCAGGGGGAGGGTGGGTGGAAGTGGCAAGGCAGTAAAGGTAAGGCAACGAGATTCTGAAGAAAGGGAGAAGACCCCATCTGTCACTCCAGTTCTCCTTACTTGGAACACACAAAAACAAGAACAAAAACAAAACAAAACAGAATTTAAAGTTACAGAACTTTTTTAAACCACCTCTATCCTTGGGGCTTGTCTCTCCGGAGGGAGGAGCCACACACCTCCAGGGTGGGGTTCCTCAAGCTCCACGGCGGCCGGAGGGACCGGAGGGGTCGCAGGGACTGCGGCCGGCTCCGGAGGGAGCGCACGCCCGCGTCCACTCGGTTCGGAAGAGCCCCGCGCGCACCACCAGCGCCCCGCGTCTGCGATGCGGGGAGAGCTGGCTGGAAACGCGCGACGGCGAGCGTGCCGGCCGGGGTCCGGGCCCACGGCCCCGCTCAGGGCGCGCTCCGACACCGCCCCGGGAGCCAGCCGGCCTTACCTGGGCTGCGCCGGGCTCCTCGACCGAGAGAGGGATGACCTGGACGGTGCCGTTGAGAGGCTTCTGCTCGTCCGGCTGTCCGCCGAGCACCGAGAGCTCCAGCTCTTCCCCCGTCGATGGAGATCCGGCGCCTTCCATGAGCAGGCAGGGGAGGGCTGAGCAGCCCGCGAGAAGCAGGGCGCACACAAGACGGGGTGCAGAGTCCAGAGCCGCCTCCCCGCGGGCGCACACCCCGCCCCCCGCGGGCGCGGCGGGGCAGACCTCGGGCAGCGGGCGGGACGGGGCGGGGCGGCACCGGCGTAGGGGAGGCGCCCCGGGCCCCCGCCGGGTCAGAGCCGCCGCGCCTACTGTGGGCTCGCGGACCGAGCAGAGGAGGGCTGTTTTTCTGGTTTGTTCATGGCTGGGCCGGCTCTGCCTTTCCCTGTCCGCGCAGACCCGAAGCAGAAGCTGAGCCGAGGGCCCGGTTGGGTGGCAGGCGCGGCCCGGCCGGGCGCCGCAGCGCCAGCCACGGGGGAAAGGTAGCATTCCACCTCCAGGGGCCGTCTGCGGCCGGGGCTTGCCCCAGCGGTCTCTGCCGAGCGCACGTTCATTCATCGAATCATCTAGCAAGTAGGAAGGCTACACGCGCTCGCGCAGAACTTCTGGTTCGGGGAGCCCGGGGTTTTGTTTGCTCAGCACGGTGTTGATCATCTCGTGCTTCTGTTCAGAGCGGGCTTGCCCCCAGCACACGTATGGAGCAGCAGTTGGAGGTGTGGACAGGATGCATGGAAAGAAGCGATCTTCAGAAGAGGTCGACTTGTGTCCAAAAGCCTGCCTACTACTCAGACCCTTCCTGAATATTGGGGCTCTGGTTGCTGGTTGGCCGGCACCAGATCGTCCGGACTCCCTCTGCCTGCTGGAGGGGGTCATGCTGACTGCAGCCGCTCACGGCTGGCCTGCGCTGCCTTCTGCTTTCCCGCCTCCGCTCGCACTGGCACATTCTGCAGCAGTCAGGCTGCATTCTCAGCTGGGAGTTCTCAAAGATGCTTTTTAACAAAGGATCAAGGGTTAAGAGAACCAAGAAGGGATGTTAGGGCACCCAAGGACAAAGGACATCAGAAAGCCATCATAACCCACGGACCTAAAAGGCACTGGAGCCTCAGAACCGGAGCCTTGGAGGAGGGCCCTCCCCATGGGCTCTATAAGTCACAGAAAAGTTGCTGCCACTTCCAGCAGTAGCCCAGCAGGCAGGAGACAGACAGGAATAAATACCGTGACCTTTCTCCCTACCTGCCACTCTCCTTTCCGTTGAAACTGTTGATGGAAGTCAGGGGTCAGCCTCCTAAAGCTCAGAGAAGAAAATGAATCTGGGGTGCCAAGAGAAAGGAGCCTGCACCCTATCTTTCCCTACAGTAACTGACATCTTGTCTTCTCAGACATTCAGTAGTCTGGTCTGGTCACATTCCTCTTCCGGGCTGGCCCTCACATAGCCCATTCTGTTGCCACCCCAACGTGTTTGGATACGATGTTCCCTTTGCTTGCAATGTTTTCCCCACCCACTTTCTGCATGGACAATTCCCATCCACCTTTAAATTCTAGCTGAGATGGACTTTCACCACTAAACCTTCCCTGACTTGCATCCTCCCCCAGAAGTCATCCACGCCCTTCTCTGGTACCAGTACGCCCTGTACCATGTTAAATGCAGCACAGATTCAGTCCGATTTAATTCAACAAATAGCACTGAGTGCTTGCTACATGTCAGATATTCTTCTGGGTGCTTGAGGTCTGTCTGAAGAGGTAGCTAAATAAAAAATCACTGCCATGGTGAGGCTCCTGTTTAATGAGGGAAACAAACTTAAACGACATTTCTAGAATATTAGAAAGTATGTGTGCTATGGAGAAAAATAAAGCAGAGGGAGGGAGCCGGAATGTCAAGTGGTGAAGGTTAGGGGAGAGAGGAGGTGCAATTGTAAATCGGGCCATCAACTCAGGCCCCATCCAGAAGGTGGGACAGATAGGACATGGGGGTGCAGTGTACAGCAGGGTGACTGTAGTTTGGCATCCGTTTTGCATATTTGAAAGTTGCTAAGAGAGTAGATCTTAAAAGCTCTCATCAGGAGACAAAGAATAGTAACTATGTGTGGGGGTGGACATTAACTAGATTTATTGTGGTGATTATTTACACAAATATCAAATCGTTATGTTGTACACCTGTAACGAAATAATTCCTTAATTTTTTAAAAAATGAAATTTGAGGGGTGCCTGAGTGGCTCAGTCGGTTGAGCGTCCAACTTCGGCTCAGGTCATGATCTCACCGTTTGTGGGCTCCAGCCCCACGATGGGCTCTGTGCTGACAGCTCAGAGCCTGGAGCCTGCTTCTGATTCTGTGTCTCCCTCTCTGTGCCCCTCCTCCACTCACACTGTGTCTCTCTCTGTCTCTCAAAAATGAATAGACATTAAAAAAATTTTTTTAATGAAATTTGAACAGAGTTAAAGGTGGTGAGGACAGTGACTGTGCTGTGCTGAAGAGGGACATTCAGGATAGGGACGTGAAGCCTGTTTGACTTCTACTGTCTGAGAACCAGTAAAGCAGCCAGAATGAAGTATGAGCAGTAACTTCTTTCTCTGGTCTGTCTCCTCTGTTGTTTAAGCTCCTTGAGGTATCAGTGTATCCCCAGTACTTAGCTCTGGAGTTAGCACTGTGCCCTCTATAAATGCTGATCAGTTTGATATTCTCAGCTATGCTGGTTTGTTAGGCCCAGGCTCTGAGACCCCAAACAGGATCAGCAAGACCTCTCAAACTCCAACTCCCGTCCTTCCCCGGGGACCAGACAACATTCGCCACCACCGCCCCACCCCCTCCCATCCCCCGCTTACAGAAGGTCGGTTTCCCTGAGAGACCCCCACCCTGTGTCAGATGAACTGTAGCTGTTTTCCAAGCCCTGTTTCTCCATGAATAGATGTTTATAATCTCCTTCACCCTCCAGAGGATCAAAAAGCTACTGTTTACTGTTACAAACACACTCTCAGTCAGATCTACTAGTGCCTTCTGAGTTCTGCAAAGCAGGGTTTCTATATTCCCTAATCTAGGTTACAGTGCATTTCTAGAATTCCATAAACCTAACTCTTGCATATGGTTGGCATCCCTATGGTAATATAGGCTTTGAAGACAAACAGATTTAGCACTCTCAGTACTGTGTGTTCTGTGGCAAGTTGTTTAGTGTGAGTTTCTTTCCTCATTATAAACAGTTCCGACCTAGTAAAGACGATTAAATGAAGTAATTGGAATTAGGCATTTATTCCCAGGCCTGACCAATAGCAGGATCTCAGTAAATATCCCTTATCTCTGTGGCTATAATTATCTTTATAACTAATATTCACCCTGCTCCAACCCTCAGCAGCCAGCAGTAATCCTTGACTCAATATATTTTCTTTTGATATTGATTTGTGTTCCCATCCTGTCACATTTTTTCTTTTTCTTTCTTTCTTTCTTTCTTTCTTTCTTTCTTTCTTTCTTTCTTTCTTTCTTTCTTTCTGTTTTAGAGACAGAGAGAGCATGAGCAGGGGAGAGGGGCAGAGCAAAGAGAGAATCTTTTTTAAAAATAAAATAAATAAAAATAAAATAAATATTTATTTATGGGGCACCTGGGTGGCTCAGTCAGTAAGGCATCTGACTTCGACTCCGGTCATGATCTCACGGCTCATGGGTTTAAGCCCTACATCAGGCTCTGTGCTGACAGCTCAGAGCCTAGAGCCTGCTTCTGATTCTGTGTCTCCCTCTCTCTCTCTCCCCCTCCCCTGTTTATATTCTGTCTCTTTCTCTCTCTCAAAAATACATAAACTTAAAAAAAATATTTATTTATTTGTTTATTTGGGGGGGTGGAGGGAGAGAAAGAGAGTCCCGAGCAGGTCTGTGCTATCAGTGTAGAGCCCAATGTAGAGCTCAGACTCACGAACCATAAGATCATGACCCGAGTTGAAATCAAGAGCCCCACCTACTGAGCCACCCAGGCCCCCAGAAAGAGAGAGAATCTTAAGCAGGCTCCACGCTCAGCACAGAGCCCAAGATGGGGCTTGATCCCGTGTTCCTGGGATCACGACCTGAGCCGAAATGCAATGCCAGACACCTATCTGACTGAGCCACCCAGGTACCCCTGTCCTGTCACATTTTCTCGATCACTGATACTTGCTGATACCCCCCAATATTACCTGAACTACTTAAATTCTTACTTGCAACTTCTTCCTGATTTGTGGTAACTGCAAATTTCTTACTCTCCAGAGAGCTGACCTAGAATGTAGATAAGGGTCCTAGTCTCTTCTTGAGGACTTTTTCATCCCACCAGTGAGTCTGGCTCTAAACTAAGGATTCAGAATGAGTTTGAACAAAATGTTCCTCCCTTGAGGTAGAACCCAATTTAGATTAAACAATTCTTGATGGAAGTCAAGTATTTGTGCATGAGAACCCAAATTCTACATGGATTTGTCTTTGCCATTTCTTCAACATCTTCCTCTATACAGGTAGCTTTTTAAAGGGTACTGTTCTTTCATCAAGTCATGCAAATGTGTTTTTGTTAAAGTATACTGTTCTTGCACAAATAGTTCTTTGTAATAGAATTTCAAATTAGTATTGACTCAATTGCTTTAGTTTGTTCAAGGAGTAAAATGTAAATAACATTAAAAAATTGAAACATACTGTGGCCAAGACCCCCTGATCTGTATAAGATTTTCAGTGTTGCTTTTCTTGTCATGTGTCTTCTTCTTCCTTCAAACGTCCTTAGAAATTTCCCGAGTGATAGTATAAACTGAAAGTAAAGTAACATCATCAAGGTGACATCACCAAAGCGCCAAAGCATCGCGTTACCTTCAAGTGGGTCTGTGCCTCATGAAGACACAACAGTATGTATCTATTTGTTGCCTGGTGACAAGCAGCAAGGGAGTCAATCACTCAGACTAATCAAGCAGAAACAACTGAGAAATGGTTGATTTGTGATGTTGCATTTTGCAGATTTCAAGACACCGTGAAGGAGGCCCAGAGTCCCCAGTGGTCTGACGCACAGAAGTGCTCACGTCTTGTTTTATGGAGGCCAGGCCGCATAACAGAATCTGGATTTGCCTCTCTTTACACGTTTGCAAGAATAAGTATGTACGTCCACATCATCTGCGCATTTTGGCATCAAATAGCCAAGTACGTTAGGTTGGTGTTTGTGGACCTTCTCCCCACCCACCCCTGCACTGCTGAGGAACACGAACACTCAC